TTAAATCAGCCAAGAAGCCTCAAAGGACATGCCACAATATCTTCTGGACTCAGGATCAGTCAACAAATGCTTCTTTTCATCCTTTTCCTTTTTCTCCTTTTTTTTCTTCTTGTCTTTCTTGTCCTTTTTGGACTTCTTCTTATCTTTCTTTTTCTTATCCTTCTTCTTCTTTTCCTTCTTCTCTTCTCCTTTCCCCTTCCCCCTCCCCTTCCGGCCCTTCTTGCCCTTGCCGTGCCCTTTCTCAGGCGTCAAAGGCCTCTTCAGGTTCCTCACGGCTTCCTCAGCCTTGCGGCGGTGCAAAGCCCACTCCTCAGCCGCTTCCTTCTTTTCCTGGTTCTTCTTTTCCTCCACCTCCTCGGCCTTCTTGTCGTCCTTCTTTTCCTTTTTCTTCTTTTCATCCGCCTCCTCAGCCTTCTTGTCATCCTTTTTTTCCTTTTTCTTCTTGTCATCCGCCTCCTCAGCCTTCTTGTCGTCCTTTTTTTCCTTTTTCTTCTGTTGAGCCGCCTCCTCGACCTTCTTGTCATCCTTCTTTTCCTTTTTCTTAGCCGCCTCCTCAGCCTTCTTGTCATCCTTCTTTTCCTTTGCCTTCTTTTCATCCTCCGCCTTTGGAGGCTTCTTCTCGTCCTCCTTCTTCTCCACCTTCTTGTCAGGCAGCTTCGCCTCCTTCTTGTCGTCCTTCTTTTCAGACTTCTTCTCGTCTTTCTTGTCCTCCTTCTTCTCAGCCTCCCTCAGGCTGCTCCCAGCAGCAGGTACCAACCTCAGGTGGTCATTGCTGCTCCCGGCAGCTTCTCGGGCCAGCCTTTCGCGGTTTTGCCGACGCTTTCGAACGTTCGGCTTCTTTCGCTGCTGCCTGCCAGGACACATCATTCAATTGTCAACGACACGACGGCTAACACTCAGGCCTCTCAGGCTGCTCCTGAACGTCACTGTCAGACGAGGAGGTTGAATACGAGGATGACCTTGTCGATGACGAAGAAGAGGAACCCGAAGACGATGTCATGGCTTCGGAGGCTCCAAGCTGGGAGCGGGGTGCTAAGTCGGCCAATTACAGACCCGGTTTTGGGCTCCAAAAGTGGGATCTGTCCCGGTGTACTACCGAAGGAATGCTGCAGTGTAAGTCTGTGTAAGTTTCAGGCAGATGTCTGTCCACATGTGACACATGTGATGGGAAGCTCCATCCAAGGAGCTTTCTTTAAGTTAGGATCCGCAGTCGCTGATTTTTTTGACGATTGAAGAAGTGACTGCACCTAAGTCATCTACCGGAAATGCTAAATCATGAACTCATGACGAGTCTGAGAAGAAAGAAGCAGCATGCACAGCCGATGCTCAAGCCACGCTTCATCCATGCCAACCATGTTCACATCTCAATGGCACGGAGCACACGGTCCTCAGACGAGGAAGTCGAAGAGGATGCAGCAGGCTCCAGCCTCGACAAATCGTGCCGACAAACCAAACGGACTGCAACAATAAACACTAAGTGCATGCAGGAACATGAGAAGAACCGGGCACCGCACGTCGTCATCCAATCCAAAGTCAAACCTCCGTCGCATGGGGGGGGAACTTAACCGGCGAACCAAGACCAGTCTCCTGAAGAGCACCGGGCGCCCCGCATCCAAATATTGACGCAACTCATCGTCGTCGTCCATTGCCATGGTCGGGCCTCAATCAAATAACAGTGTGGCCAGCCCAAGTGCATCAGACACAGGACCAAGCACCTCGCATCATGAAACCTGGATGTTGCCTTAGAGCGGGTCTCATGGTGCTTCCTCGTATTTTAGACCGGGCTAGGGAACACCATGACATGTTGCAATGTGAAGCAGAAACGGGCACCTGGCATCATCAACCGACGAACCCAAGGGCTGAGATCAGGCCTTAAAACAACAGTGCAAAGTCTAAGGGCTTGCGAATCAGAATCTGGGCACCTCACCTCGTCATCAGATGCCCAACGCCAGGCCTCAGTCCAGCGACACTGTGAGGCAGACCCAGGCGAAGCCCCCGGGCACCTCGCAACATCAGCCAAGGTCAGGCCTCAGACACACAACGAGACAGTCAATCAGGATGCAATGCTGTGGTGCGGTACCGTGCCAGGAACCAGGCACCCCTCGTCAGCCAGCATTGTCCAAGTCAGACCTAAGCCAGTGACACAACAGTCAGAAAGAACATGCGAAGTAACGGGTGCCGGGCATCATCAGTTTTACGAATGGTCAGACCTGAGTGAAATGGCCATACAGTTTTCAAATTTAAGCTGGAAACGGACTTCACTGCGAAACCTGCCTGGCCAGGCGCCACGACGGTCAGGCGGTGATGGTCAGGCCTCAGACGCACCAAGTTAAACCACCCTCCTAGACCCCAGGCCCAAACCAAACCCCAAAGGCTCGAAGGCCACCCCGAACCCGAATCAATACCGCAACACCCTGAAACTTAGGGGGGTGAATCTGGGGTCACAATCCCAAATCCGAATGGGGGGGTTTCTGGGGCCTCACCCTGAAAAAAACCCAGCCGGACGGCACACCACAATGGGCCAGTCCAGGCATCGGCCGAGCTGACCGAAACGCTCGGGCCAATCATGCCGGCTGTGAAGATTTTGATCGGCATCGGAGCCCGGCTCACGAAGAACCGGCACCGTGCCTGACCAAAACTCCAAAGCTCAGGCGAGGCCTCAGAGCTTTCGGTCGGCATCGGAGCCCGGCTCACGGAGAACCGGCACCAAGCCTGACCGAAGGTCGGCATGGGAGCCTGGCTCACGAAGAGCCGGCACCCGCCTGACCGGGAGCGCAATGGAGCCAGGCTCACGAAGAGCCGGCACCAAAGGCTCGCAGCGCAGTCGGCTGGTGCCCGGCTCACGAAGAACCGGCACCGCCAGACTGAGGGGGCAACGGAGCCTGGCTCACGAAGAACCGGCACCGAAGACCCCCTGCAGCTCAATCGGCTGGTGCCCGGCTCACGAAGAACCGGCACCGCCTGACTGAGCTGCCAACAACTCAAGCACAAGTCATGCGGGGTTAGGGAGGGAAACCAACCGGGTCTTAGGGTCCTACCTAAAACTAAAAAACCCTCAGGCAGCGGCCGGCCCATGTCGTTGAAGAAGACGATGAAGTCGCGGGCAGGATTTAAGGGTTTGGGTTTAGGGCTTAGGGTTTTAGGGTTTAGGGTTTTAGGGTGTTGGGGATTAGTGTGGTGGCATTCAGCTGTTAGCCTCTCGGGTCTAGTGTCATTGGGTTCAAATTATTAGGGTCGAGGTTACGGTTTTAGGCTTTAGGGTGGGTGGACTACGAAGCTTGAAGGCCTATGGCACTGGTGATGGGAGTCTGTAGTTAGTAGGGATCTGGGACGATAGGGTTTAAGGTGGTGCCATGGTTGAGGGTGATGGGCTTCAGCTTTCCAGGGTTTAGGTGTCTGAAGGTGTAAGGATATACATTTTGGGTTTAGGGAGGAGGGGTAAAGTTCAAGGCTTGTTGTGACGTCGTCAGACTACGTTCGAGCACTACAGCTATGCGGCCTATTTCAAACCCATACACCCCCATTTAAAAACCCAAAACAAGACCTTGAGAATCACCTCTACTAGTTTCCCATCCCCTTCTTTACCTCTCTAACCCCCCCAGCAACCCTCTCTTATTGCTATCCTAGGCATCATACAACCCATTCCCGGCAAAAGTTGAAAAGTTTGTTTTACAGCCACTAAGATAATAGATAAGCCTCTACTAACGAATAGTTTTGGCATTTGAGGTATCCCGTGCTCTAATTGTATTGAGACTATGAGGGTGTTTATCTTACCAAGTATTCAGACCCTCTACCTTCAACGGATGAATGGCTTCCGGCAGCAGCCAAAAACATGATATCGGGCTGTCGAAGGACCTCCCAGGATCCCTCAACGCGGAACCCTAACCTCTAAGGCCTAAACCCTCTGAACCTTATACCAGCACCCTCCAACCACCCCTCTATTGTACCCCAAGTACCCGCAATTAGGGCCATCAGGGCTCTACAGAGAGGACTTGGGGGGTGCTGGTAAAACCTGAAGCTGAAACATTAAACCCTGAACCCTAAACGGCGCCAGGGAAAACATGTGGGTAGTTGTAAAAAATAAAAGGTCCCCCTCTGGGTACCCGAAATAGCGGGTGCCGTATTATACTAGGGACCCCAAAAGGGACCATCATTTTGACAACTACCCATGTGTGGAGCCTAGAAGGCACCTCTCTCGCGACAACAGTGCAAGACCCTTGGTCCATTTTGTACTTGCCATCTTGTCAACAACACTTCCACTGTTCCCAAGGAGACCCCTTACAAAACGACTATTTCCCTTTCCCTGCTCAGCTTTAAAGGGAACTCAATGAATCCAACATTAAAAAAAGGATCGGGTTCTATTGGTGTAGTTAACTACCAGAATCGACTAACTTGTCCACGACAACAGTACCTATCGCCTCCAAGGAAGTTGTGTCGGAGCTACGAAAACTATGAGTTTCTGCAGCACGACCTTCTCGCCAACATTGATTGTGTCGTAACCCGCATGTGCAAGTGAAGCGTCGCACGCACATAGACGGAAAACTGTGAAGGTATGGGTACTTTCGATAGGTTCCATGCTGGTGGACTCGAAACACTGGCAACACGCTTTCATCTGGCATATCTGGCGGTCTTTGTCACGAAGAGGTCTATAATCAACAACATGATGATTTTGGAGTATGCTGTCAGTTGATGCTTCTTATTTGGGCGCTTCAGAAAGTAGGGGACCCTATTGTATAGACCTACATTGACCATTAGTCAGATCCTTCATTTCAGTTGACTCACCCCCGCCCCTCCCCTCCAAAAAAACAACAAAACAAACGTATGACGAAGACATTTTAACCCGTGCCGCCATAATCAAGCTTGATGTATATACTGGGGTTTCCGGAAATGGGGACCCTGATATAGTACTCTAAGCAGTAGGATCCTTACTAAAGGGACCCCAAAATAAGGCTCCAAAATCCCATATGCCGGCCCAGACTGGGTAATCTGGGTACTACCGCCTGCAGCAGCTCCGTGTCGTTCATCTCCTCGTAGATCACCCGCTTGGAGGCATCCTGGAACACGAGGCCTCGGCACAGTTTCCGTGGAGTCCGGGCCAGGACCCAAGGCTTAGGGTTTAGCGTTTAGGGTAAGGGTGTTATGTCGTATCATCTTGTGTTCTACGGTATGTTGCATTACAGTACAATACATTATGCAATGGAGTCCCAAAGTGCCCTTACTCGAGCCATTATGGTCCGAAATAGTGAGGCTCTGAGTATAATGAGGGATTACCGGGTAGTTGGAGGGTATGGGAGTCTGGCTTGTCGGGCTCGGCAAAAGGTCTGCAGAGCGTATCCTACTGGACTTGCTCCCCGAAGTCGCAAACCCCAAACGCAAAATACACAAAATATACATACATACATAGACAAAATAGATAGATGGATAGAGCTGCCTTGCTCAAGTTATTTTATGGGGAAAGGGAAAGCGATCTATGTAAATGTCTGTGCCGACCTCCTACGACGGACAGATGTAGGGAGTCACTCGCCGCATGCCTCGCAAATCCCAAGTATCTGCGCTTTGCAGCGCAGAAGCCTACTATAAATGGCTTTGCAAGGATTTGTCACAGCAGCTACTTGGAGGATCAGGGGACTTAGTAAGTAAGGTTATACGTTCATAAGTACTTATATGTATAGTTACCTTATTTATAACCCTACATAGTTACTAAGTCCCATGATCCTTTAAGTACCTGTAAGTATGGAATCCTGCCGTGCCAAGAGCTCCTACGGCCCTTCGGCAGGAGATGCACAAGCTCTGTGGCCATGTTCCTCTTCATCGCGAGGCGGGGGCCAAGTTCTGTCTTCTAGGCTAGGCACTCTGAAGCTGAAGCCATGCCTCCTTGAGAGCGTTGAAGACCTGTCTTCCCGAAGTCTCTCAGCCATTCTTCGGACAGCCACGGCCACGCCGACGGCCTACAAAATGTCGCGGCAGTCCACGACATTCGACATCCGATGAATTACACCTGATGAAAAAGGTCTTGTATCACCCGAAGCCGCCGATGCCTAAGGTCTGGCGCACGAGTCCACCAAGCTCCGAAAAAGCAGTAATACAGGGGCCTTAATAATTACAATAGGGTTCTTGGGCCCATTATACTAGACTTTTAATGAGGAAGCCCCCAAAATAGTATTGGTAACTATTTAGGCCCCTATATGAATGAAATACTTACAGCTGCGAATGCGAACCGTCATGCAGATGTAATGAAAAAACCTAAACCCTGAATGCCCTGAATGCCCCCACCTTCAATAACCTAAACCCTAAACCCCAAATCGCAGGTAAATAACCCAAACCCCAAAACCCTCATAAAGTAAAAGCCAGAAAGTTGGAATATGGTTATCCTAAACCCTTTTATGGTAAATTATAAGGATCCTACCCTGAAACCATATTCCAACTTTCTGGAGTTCCCTTTAGAGTCTAGGGCCAAGGGTTTAGGATGTCTGGCTCCCTGGTCAGTTCGAGTTTAGTTAAGGCTTGGTAGCTGTCTGCGCTACGGACCCTCAGCTACGTCCCATACGCTGTAAGGGGTCGCATAGATGCTCCGGCTCTGGCTTTAAATGAAGGGCTTATGGTTTGGGATTTAGTGTGCGTGTGATCGACGGTTTAGAACTTTTGTTGAGGCTTCAATGTCTTGAGGGGACTTAGGATTCAGTTTGCAGCCAAAGTAGCACCCGAAGAGTGACCACTAGATTCCGAATTGCAAACCTTCCGGTAAAGGGGAGATTCCGAGAATAGGACCCAAACATATAGTACCCTAAGTAGTAGAATCCTTATTACAAGGACCCCCAGAGTACGGTACTCCTAATTTTCGAAAACTCCCATATGAGTACATTACACCCTGAGCCCTATTCATGGGGTATGGAACAAATCCCCTCAACCCTACTTTTGAAAATAGAACCGTATAGCGTTGCACGGACGCACGTAGCCTGAAACTGCGCCCCATCCACAAAACCCCATAGCGCTTTGTGCTTTTGGAGTTAATGTTGTTGGTTTAAGGATCTGGGGTCTAGAGTCTTTGGGAATTACGGTAATCGGCATTATCGCACCACCGCTGCCCCCTGTTGCATGGGGTTTTCGAATGACAGAAAGCCTAAGATGCCTTCCCAGTTGCGCAGGAATCTCCCAATGGTGTAAACAACACCTGCGGAGGACTTCAGGCATCGAGATAGGACATCCAAATCGTGTCCAAGATCTCTATGAGATGTCCACTCCTAGCTTCTATTCCGACCCCCTATACTACACACACGGAATGATATACGGTTGATGATATAAATCCTGCATTACACATAATAAGGAATATACCATCATTCCCATAGGTCTAGGGTCCTTAAGGTAATGCAGGATTTATTAGATCATCAACAGTAGCTTCTATTCCGACACCCTATACTACACACACGGAATGGTATACGGTTGATGATATAAACCTTGCATCACCCATAATAAGGAATATACCACAATTCCCATAGTCTAGGGTCCTTAAGGTAATGCAGGATTTATATCATCAACAGTAGCTTCTATTCCGACCCCCTATGCTACACACACGGAATGATATAGGAGTTTCCGCAAATAGGGGACCCTAATAGAGTATCCTAAATATTAGGATCCGTATTATAAGGACCCTAAAATAAGGTACCCCAAATTTTCGGAAACTTCCATATAGTGCTGGCCTGCTGGCGATTCAGGTCAGCACTCAGGCTTCAGGGCTGGGGCCCTCTTCGTCCTCAAAGCCTTTATTACCCCTGCTGAACCGTATCCGAAACCCGAAATCCTGAAGCCTAAAATTCCTAAATCCTAAATTCTAAACTCCTAAACCCTAAATTCCTAAATCTTAAATTCTAAACTCCTAAACCCTAAATTCCTAAATCCTAAATGCTAAATCCTAAAGCCTAAACCCTAAGTTCCTAAAGCCTAAACCCTAAAATCCTAAATCCTAAGCCCGAATCTTGGCTGTCACGACTCTAGCACCTCCCAAAGCCGAAGCAGACTTAGAAGTGCCAAATCTTTCAGCCCTATCTTGCCCTGAACACAAATGGGTGGTTGTCGACATCAGGGTCTCGTTTTGGGGGTACCCTAAATATTAGGTGCCATACTAAAACAGGGACCCAAAAAGGGACCATAATCTTGACAACCACCCAAACTTCTGGAACCCCAAGCCCCAACTCTGAAACGTTACGAAGCCGAAGCCGTAAATCGGAAATCGTAAGAACCCTATGTGTCTAGGGTTTAGGAATTCGGGTATCGGGCTTGGGGACGGTATCTTGCAGCTCTGAGTCCCATACTTAAAGGCTCATGGGACTTAGTAAGTAGGGTTAGAAAAGAAGGTAACTATACTTATGAATACTTACAACCCCAATTAGGAGACTTGTAACATTACATGATAAGTCCCCTGATCCTCCAAGTAGGGTTATGAGGAAAAGGGTTTAGGGGTTCAGGGCAGAGCATTTAGGGGTTTCAACCCAAAAGTGATGAAAGGCTGGGTTTAGGGTGGTACGGCTTATAAGGTTCAGGGCTCAACCTCACAACCTATACCCTCCCTCAACCCCACAATTAACCCTGAGCCCCAAACCCACCCTAACACACGGGCCTTAATAATTAGAATAGGGTTTTGGGGCCATTATACTCCCCCCAAAAATAGTATTGGCTAAGTGTTTAGGGGGCCCTATATTACTCTCATCCAGCCCTAAACCCTGAACCATCCTAAACCCCGAACCCTACCGTCATCCAGCCTAGGTATTTATGGCCCGTTATACTCTAGTTTTCTAAGCAACCGCCCCCCCGAAATAGTATTGGTAGTTATGTAAGCCCCTATGCTATTATTGCGATTATTAATATCATTATGATAACTTATTGTTATGATTATTATTACTAGTATTATTCTTAATATTACTATTCACGGACATGAAGCCCCTATATTGCCCCCATCCAGCCTAGGTAGATGCCCATGATGCTGTAGGAAGCACTGGAGCTCTCGCTGCCCACCGGCGTGGGAGCCACCTCATACGGCCCGAAGAGTCATGGGTTTTGAGGGCCCCTTTGGAGGAACTCTGGGTCCTAGGTTCCCTTTAAAGGAAGCCTAGGTTCCCCTTTACAGGAACCCCAGATTCCTTTTAGGCCTTATGGGGTCCTTTCAGGGCTCCTTTTGAAGGATTCCCATGAAATTCCTATATTGCGTTCTACCAGTAGCATGGGCCTCGCTGGGCTCCTACAATCCTAGTATCTCGTCAGACGGCCGCAGCTGATGCCTCAAGATTGTCTCAACTGGAGGGTCATCCGGACCCCAAATTTTGCATAAGATCTACCCCTAAACCCAAAACCCTCAACCCTAAACTCTAAACCCAAAACCCTAAACCCCGATCTCTGCAATAACTCGGATAACAGGTTTAGATGTTCAGGAGCTCACGGTCTTCCACGATGTCCAAGACATTTCGGGAAGGAGAACCCAGAAACCCTAAACCCTAACCCAAACCCTCAACCCTTTAAACCCTAACTCCCCCTAAACCCAAAACCCTCAACCTTACAACCCCCAACTCCCCCCTAAACCCTATAAACCCTAAACTCCAAATTCCAAAACCCTGACCTAAACCCTCAACCCTACAACCCCCAACTCCCCCCTAGACATTATACACCCTAAACGCCAAACTCCAACACCCTAACCTAAACCCTCAACTCTATAGACCCCAACTCCCCCCTAGACATTATAAACCCTAAAGCCCTTATAAACCCCTCCACCCTATAAACCCTGAAGCCCTAAACCCTAAACCCCTAGACCCCTAGACCCTATGAACCCTAAAGCCCTCATAAACCAAACTCCAAAACTTGGCAGGCTACCGGACTAGCGCATCGGTTTGGATCTTCTCTGCGTAATGCATACTCTCGGGGGATCAGGGGACTTAGGAAGTAAGGTTATAAGTCCCCTAATTGGGGCTATAAGTAATTATAAGCTTTCAGTAATAATAAGTGTAGTTACCCTCTTTGTCACCCTCGTTACTAAGTCCCATGATCCTTCAAGTACCTTAAACCCCTATAGATCCCTTATAGGAGCCCTTTTAGGAGCCCTTCAAAGTTACTAAGTCCCATGATCCTTTAAGTATTCTTGGGGTCTTAAGAATCAGACTAGAGTTTGTTCAGCATAAACGTTTTCACGTCCGAAGGGGTTTGGGGTTTAGGGACGCCTATGGTCGTCCGACACGGTTCGACACGGCATGCCTGTCAGCCCCGCACGACCACACATTCTAAGAGCACACTTTACGCTAGTTCTAACTGTCTGCGGGCGGTATCTCTCGGACTTGGCTTGAAGACGAAGTTGGATTGAACGAAGCCCGGAAATAACAGCAACTTGCCTCGCCTTCCTACACGGTTCAGGCTTGAAGTTTAGGGGGCGGTGCTCTTAAACAATGCCTACACTACGCCTGAACCATACTCCAGACCCCTGGTTGATGAGCCCTTTCTCTTCAAGCACCTTGATACGGGAGTTTTCGAAAACAGGGGACCCTAATATAGTACCCTAAGTAGTAAGGTCCTTACTAGAAGGACCCCAAAATACGGTACCCCTTATTTTCGGAAACTCCCATACTGCTGATGGACAAAATCCTGCATGACCGTAAGGGCTCTAAACCATGGGAACCATGGTATATTCCTTATAAAGGGTAATGCAGGATTTTGCCCATCAGCAGTATTAGGATCACTCAGCTGGACAGTAAGGGCCTCTAAGAGTTCTTCCCGGAGCAGGGTTTCTGAGGCCCAGTCTTCGTGAGACTCGTTCGGGATCGGCTAGTTCGGATGTGTAACGCTTATGTCTTAGGTACGGCCCCCATACAGTAAGAGTCTATAATAGGGCTACTATTAAGGTCCTAGTATATCTATATGATGCATATTACTCAACTATTACATACTGAGTGGGGGCCGTACCCAACTTATGTCTTACTTACGTCCTGTTGCAGCCTGTGGATTAGGTTTAGGATTTAAGGTTCTCAGGCCCGACAGATTGATCTAAGGTGTAGGGTTCAGGGCCCTTCAGCCCCTAACCCCAACCCTAGACCCTAAGCCCTGAACCCTAAAACCCTCAACCCTAAACCCTTAAACCCTCAACCCTTGCAACCCTAAACCCTTAAGCCCTCAAAGCCCTAAACCCTCAGAGCCCTAAACCCTCAAAGCCCTAAACCCTCAAAGCCCTAAACCCTCACAGCCCTAAACCCTTAAACCCTAAAGCCCTCAAAGCCCTAAACCCTGAAACCCTTAAACCCTCAAAGCCTTAAGCCCAAGGGCGCCTTTTCGCTGGCCACTTGGAAGGAGACGGGGCAGGCTTCCACAGCTGTTTCCTGACCCGAGTGGCTTTGCGGTTTGGAGTCATAAAGGGGCCCTTATTATAATAATAAGATAAGATACCCCAAAACCCTATTCTAATTATCAAGGCCCCTATAGTAGTGCATTGACTTTAGAATTTTCGGGTTAGGGTTAGGGACTTGTATATTAATACCAACTTGTACAATCGTGCACGAGAGTATGCTGTGATAAAAACATCCTACAAGGTTTATTGATTGTTTTGATATACAGCTTTTCGAAGTCTACTCTACAGCGGCCTGGAGCAACAGCAATGATTAGTACTCCCTCGGATGCTTTAAGCTACTCAATGGTGTAAGTCATCCTCCAAAGCCAATGTAAGTATTCATGCCTGTTACCATGCCTCATACCTAAGAGGCCGTCAGTCGGAATCCCTAGATTCTCCCAGTTCTGGTGTTCGCTGTGACTTCGGCTCCGCTTTCCTATGCGAAGCTTAACAGAGCGTTGGCTCGCTGAGGCTGGCATAAGGGGGTAGGTCAGGGTGTAAGGGCCAAACACAGCTTGCTTTGAGGATTCAAGTTTGAACTTGAACCCCACACCTGCAAGATTAGAAGGATCAACTCGGCACCCGTTTGACACCGGGCCTAACCGCGAAATCCGAAACCGACCTCAACCCTCGACCTTAAGCCCTAAGGAACCCTAAACCCCCAAACCCCTAAAAACCCTAGCAAGCTCTAAACCCCCCGACAGCCGATATGCGGAACGAGGCCTCCACGCCCTGTAGCCGGGCTGCCAGGGATGGGCAGGGCTTGCAGCCACCGGCCTATAACAAGGGCTAGGGTTTAGGGTTTAGGATTTGTCGTGGAATAGCGCGTAAGCGAGAGTATCTGGCTGCAAGGTTGTGTCGATTGCATCGTACTGTGGCGAGGAGCTGTGAAAGCTTGTCTACAGCAGGCTCGTCCTTCTTTCTTTCCCGCCCGACGCCGTACAAGGCGGCCAAGCCACCCAAACCGTTTGCTTTCAGGGTGTGAAGCCTAAACTCATGCCATCGCACGTTTCTTCCGTTCTAGCAGCAAGGGCACAGGGCAGGGCAAGCAGGGAAGGGCAGGACGCAAGGGGGCAGGGGGCAGGGATTCTTGCAATCTGCCGGGTTGGGGTGGAGCATCTCAGGAATTTGCACAACGCCGCAAAAACTAGACTCAAAACCCTGCCCCCCTAGTCGCCCCCTAATCAATACTTAACCAGTTAACCGTACACCCGTAACTCAGGGGCATAATGTGAGGTTTGGGTCTAGCAGTCTGTGCTTTCGTTGCAATGGGACTTTCTCCATTCCCTTACGGCCACTGTGCAGGAAGGGCTTTCGGAGTCTACCGGTTGAGAGTTTATAGGGTCTAGGATGTAAAGGATTTTTCGGAGCGGGTCTGCTTCAAGGCTTTGTGGCTAGGGCAGGAGAGCAGACAAGGTTTCTTTGGGAGCATAGAACACCATAGCTACCAGAAAAATGCATACTTTTGGCAACAAGACTGAATACCTTATACCAAAGCTCTGGAGCACCCAGAAGCCTAATATAGGGGCCTTCATAATTGCACTAGTGTGTTTTTTTTTTTTTTGCGGGGGGGGGGGGAGCTGGGGGGGTAGATTATACTATATTAACAACCAAGAACCCCCAAAACAGTATCTGCAACTATTAAGGCCCCTATATTGCAAGCCGAGTCTTCCACCATTGACCAGGAGGGCAGCACAGAACCAGCTTCAGAAGACAAGGTCAGGCCTGGCGCTGTAGGGTTTGGGGGCCCGTGGCTTGGGATTCGTTTTTTTTTTTTTTTTTGAGCTCCTTTTCTCCCATCCCTTGCGGTCTGCGAAGAGGCTACAAAGCCAGGACAGTGGGGCACTTGTGGATTCGTTTTGTTTTGGGTTTAGGGATTCAGGGTGCAGGGTTCAGAGTTTATGTTTTTCAGGGCTTAGCATTTAGGGCTTAGGGTGTGGTCAGGGTTTAGGGCACAGCATGGATAGGTTAAGTCCCAGGGTTTGATCGTTCTTGCTGGGGTTTACGTCTCTAAGGGTTAGAGCTTAATAGAATTTGTTACGGGTTTGGGCGCAACAGTTTTGATCGAACCGCGCTGGCTGGGCTGGGTCTCGGGGCTAGGTCTGTTTTCGTGTTGCTGACTGTTGTTTGGGGCTGCGCCTGACGGTTTAGGGGGCTCAAGATGAGCAAAGACATGCGACTCTTATTGAATGTAGTTCTTGAGTGCTGAGGGTTCGGGGCATTGTAAATTAGGTTAGGACTTCGGGGCTGGGTTTACTTCTCAGACGGCTCAGTGATAAGGGTTCAGAGGTTAAGCTAATGTGCATAGTCAAGGCCCAGGACCCGTATAGTAGCCCTCAAAGACCCATTACTGACCCTTGTAGAGATCGATTCTGAAACTCTGCTATAAAAAAAGGGGCTTAGGGATGGCATGAGCGGAAGAATCAGCGGCTTAGGGTCAGGATTCCGGGCTTAAGGTTTGGGAGTTTGGGAGTGTGCGGGCTTAGACGACGAAGATGCGCACCAACCTGTTGATGACTATGCTTTTCTGGATCATGATAAGAGCGACGATGACGACACTGACGCCGGTGAGTGCAGCGCTCAGCAATGCAAAACATACTGCTGACTAGCATGAAGCTGATGATGCTGATGATGGCGATCACGAGGACGATGATGATGAAGAAGAAGATGCTGCTGTTGATGACGAAAACGTTGACGAGAAAGACGACGACGCCGACGATGGCCTTACCGAGTGCTAAACTGTCGCCAATATCTCTTGTGCAAACCGCTTTGAAAGCAGTTGCAGACCAGGCGCTCAATGACGAGTGGGTGCCCATCGCCGCCACCTGCGTTCATATCAGTGCGACATGATCGGCCCCTACCGCCGAGCATCCAAGTGAGCGGCCCATGAAGACAACTCATCCCCGCCCCCCTAAACCCTAAAACCTAAACCCCCCCCCCCCCCCCCCTCCCCCCCCCCCCCCCCCTCCCCCCCCCCCCCTCCCCCCCCCCCCCCCTCCCAGTTTGATACATCTAGCTCTAGCCAGCCTGGGACTAACACCTTCCCTGGGACTGTGGCATGCGATGCATGCTAGTTTGAGGAAGTTTAGCATCTTGAGTCAAGGCTTCTCGATCTAATGGGTGAGAGAAAAACTTTGGTAGCATGTCACGGCAGAAGCGAATGATTCAAGAGCCGAGCTTCACCATCCTCGTAATATAGGGCCTTCATAGTTAGAATAGGGATCTTGAGTATATTGTGCCATGATCATCATCAGGCACCCTAAGGAATAGTATTCAGAAGCACTCAGGCTCCTGTATACGCCGTGGTTCTTTTTCCCTCCAAGTCGTCCTGCGAAATCCTAAAGCCAATGGTGGCCAATGCCCGAAGTTCAACGCAGGATGCTCGTAGACTCCGACATGGCGGTTGTCCTCCAATATGAATCACAAACATTGTTACTGTAAGGTCCTTCTTACAAGGACCCCTAAACATTGAGTCCTAACCTCCAGCTCGACTCAGAGGTTTCTTAAGCAAACATCGAGTCCTCACATTTCAAGAAACCCGCTCTGACCTGCTTTGTGCTCGTGCCTGTCCCGACGAATCCACCAGCAGCTGGGTCTGAAGCCCACAAGGAACGTCGATGGATGCCTCGCCTGTCAAAGAGTGGTCGTATAGGGCCTGAATACTTACAGGGTTGTCGGGATATACTGATATATCGCACTGTATTCTGTATAGCGGCTACAACGGAATACCATGACGAAATCTTCAGGACCCCAGTGTTTGTAGGGTTTCTATCTTGGTTGCTGAGTTTCCCTGGTTGCAAAAAGGCTGACCTGTCTATTCAGGTAGGGTTCTATAAATCCCAAGAGACTAAAACTTACCATCAGGATCCGTACTAGCAGCAACCCTTTACGCCCTCAGCTTGCAGCTTGCCTTCGAAGGAGGTGTTCTGCAGGGCTTCAGCGAGCGTCTGTACCTGAACACTGTTCTTCAAAGGGTTAAACGCTCGCTAGTCTTGCCTTCCGGCCAACACAGCCACGGACACTGCATCGGTCTGTTTCTGTTGGTACCAGGCCAGGCGTGTTTCTGTCGGCTACTGATTGCACTACTTGGAGGGGCAGGGGACTTAGTAAGTAGGTCATAAGTAGAGTTATAAGTACCCCAAATGGAGTTACCCCAATTATAGCCCTACTTATAACCTACTTACGAAGTCCCCTGCACCTCCAAGTACCCCTACTGCCAGGATCACGTCTTATGACGATACAGACATCTAGTGACCCAGAGCCGAAACTGAGGCCGAACTGAAGCATCATACATCATACGTCCTCTTTTTTTTAAATGCAATGGCTCTTTCTCCGCATGACATACGGACCCTCTACCCTACACCCTAATTAAAACTTCTGGGCCTTCTGCCAAAACATGTATGAAACTGGGGCATCTGATAGTTGAGCTCTGGTCCTTAGGGCGGGGGTTACTTGGAGGATCAGGGGACTTAGTAAGTAAGGTTATAAGTACCCTGACTGGGGGTTATAAGTGGTTATTAGTATAGTTACCTTCATTAATCACCCTAGTTACTAAGTCCCATGATCCTTTAAGTAGGGGGGGTTAGTGACCTTGTGAACCTCCATCTGGTACTCGGCAAGGTTCCCTGGCACCCTCTCCCCTTGAATCAACCGCACCTTCAGGAAGAATCGACGGTAATGTAGGAACCTCATCAAGAAACCCTGGCCCTATGACCCCGAAATAGTAGGAGCCCTAATAAAGAACCAGGGTTTCTGAATCAGGTTCCTACATTAGTGGGTTCAGTCTTCGGGGCTTAGGGTTCAAGGCTTCCTTTTCAACCCTAAACCCTAAACATCACTCAACCCTAAACCCTGAACCCTAAACCCCTAAACTCTAAACCCTAACCCCCAAACCCTAAACATCACTGAACCCTAGACCGGTAGAATTCCGGGCCTCAGATTTGTCTATTGCCTTCTTCACGCACTCTGCTCAAGGCCCGGAGCCCGAAAGCCTCAAGCTAATGTCTGAATAATGAAAAAATAGGGTTTGGGGTATATTGTACTATACCTATAATAAGGGTTTAGGGTTTAGGGCTTAGGGTTTCGGGGGGTATATTACTGTATACTATACCTCTAATAAGGAAGCCCCAAAACCCTGTTCGACTCATTCAGGCCCTTACATTAAACCCACACGCACCGAACCCTACACCAAACCCTGAAACGACCTTTCAACACCATACATCGACACACAAATCCCAACCAACCCGAAGCCCTAAACCCCTCATACAAGATGTCTCATAGTAACTCCTAATATAGAAACCCTACATTCTGCTATAACCCTCAACCCTAAACCCTGAACCCCTCATACAAAATGTCTACTAGTAACTCCTAATGTAGAAACCCTACATCCTGCTATAACCCTAAACCCGAATCCCTGAACCGTAGGAGGGGTGCCTGCTCGCTGCTGAGGGCCACAGGCGGGGTACGTCCAAGACCCCTTCCAGTCGTGGTGAGATTGCCTGCGGCTTAGGGTCTTAGAGTTTAGTTTAGGGGTTTAGGTGTTTAGAGTTTAGGGGTTTAGGTTCTTTTCAGGGTTTAGGGTTTAGGCAGGCTCTTTGAAATTAGGCTTACGTGCACAAGGTTCGTATGCAGCATAAGGCTTTGCAAGGGTATTCATTTGGCTTTCAACGGGGCTTCTGAAAATAAGGGGCACCTCATATAAGGGCCTTGTAGAAGTCAACTGCCTCAGCCCGAAGCTACTTCGTCTTGGACTTCAGGAACCCCGAAACCCTAAACCCTAAACCCCCCTTGTTCCTAACTGTGCCCTTCGTGTCCTTATGATGCCCGAATCGTCGTCCTCACCCTCTCAGGTACTGGTAGTGTTATCGTCACTGCAGCTGTCATGCTTTATTGCGAATGGTCGTTATGCTGCCGGGAGGATGGCGCTGAACTGTCGGTTTAACTGACACCCTTTTTTGCTACTATTCTTCACACCATGTCTAGCTACTAGCTATCACCATCACTAGATTCCATTAGAAGCACTGACACAAACAAACATCAAAACTGCAGTCGGTAGTCGCATAGCAACTGAAAGCTCGAAGGTGGCAGAAGAGCCGGAAATCCGGCAGCACTCAGCCCGAATGTATGTATGTATGATGCAGATTTAGGGTTTAGGGTTTAGGGTTTAAGGTTTAGGGTCCATGCAGGTGTACATCGAACAGCAGATCGCCAAATCGTATCTTTGTTTGCACATACATACACATGCATGTGTGAATGTATGTGTGTACTCATGTGTACTCAGTCGTCCAGCCGGGTAACCAACTGGCTAACCAGCCAAGTACCCGCAGCACCTTCCTACCCATCTATGTGTACCTTATGAAGACCTTCAAGTATACACGTATCTGAACGCGAGGGCTGATTGACCAGATACATAGACATCAAGAACACACATGCACAATGCAATGTGAGCACACACTTACGTAACTTTTTGTCGGTGTAATATGTATATACACACACACTCACTACACACACTCTCATTCAAAAACGATACGCATACATGCATCAGTGTTATCCATGTATCTGTATCCGTCTATCCATCCATCCATCCATCCATCCTTCCCTCCATCCATGCAGTCAGCCAGCCAGCCAGCTAGCCAGCTAGCCAGCAATCCATCCCTCCATCGATCAATCCATCCATCTACCTGTCTGTCTACGATATGCATGTACATGCACAGATGTGGCAGTACCAGACAGTGCGTGCATCCTAAGCCTCCCCTTCCGCCCAGTTCCACCGCTCCCCGACTTGAAGCGGTTCAGGTCTAGAGTTTTGGGTTCAGGGTCTAGGGTTTAGGAATGGATCCCTACGATAGTTAGTCCCTTAAGGTCCCCTATAGTAGTCCCAATAAGCTCCTCCCCCCGCTTCCCTAGAAAGAACCAGCTCAGCCTTGAAACTGGTAGGCGATGACCAGGTTGGCTTTGGTTTGGTTGTCGCCTGCTCTGGCTCAGGGAGGTTTGAGGGTTTAGGGATGTCAAGGGCTTAGGGCTTTGGGTTTAGGGACTGTTTAGGGGCCGAGGGCCCCACTTCAAGCTTCTCCGTCCGAGCCCTCGAATTTCAAATCATCCGGGCCGCAAAGCCCAAAAACCCAAACCCTAACTCTCAAGCCAGATCGAACCAAGGCAAGTATTCGTGCAAAGTCCTACACACTACAGCCTGCAAGTGTGGACTGCGGGATCAACCTCTCAACAGTAGAATCCTTCGTGCAGAAGAGGCGACTCACGAATTCAAATCGGCTTGGGTGGTTGCAGCCTTTAGTTAAATCGGATACATGGGAACTGCAAAGAAGGAGAACTACCCCTGATCATGTTGAGGCTCATACCCTAAGAGCTCAAGCAGAAATCCATCGGCCAACGCTTCGGCCTAGAGACCCTAGAGTGCTTTCCTTGTAGATACGAATATGGGTAGTTGTCAACATTATGGTCCCTTTTTGGATCCCTAATATAGTACGGCACCTAATATTTAGGGTATCCAAAAAGGGACCCTAATTTTGACAACCACCCACATGGCGAAACTAGGAATGACTAAGAAAATGCACCCAAATCCAGACTGACTTGGGAGTTTCGGAATACGGGGGACCCCAATATAGTACCCTAAATAGTAGCATCCTTGTTATAAGGACCCCATGAATAGGGTACCCCTAATTTTCGGAAACTCCCACTTGCATTCTGGGTAAGTTGGCATTATTGGATTTAGCTACCACCATCACTACCTCCCCACTGGCAGCTGTACCCGTCTGATGTTTGCTGCTACAAGTTCTGGGCCTTAGTCTTACGTGGCCTTGGAATGGACATTTTTCACACTGAGGTATATGTCAATGCCTAAAAACACTTCTATGGTGAACTCATAGGCTAAAAGCCCCACAAAATCCCGAAATCTGCGGCACAGGTGCTCAGCTGTTTGGCTACTTGGTAGCGCAGGGAGTTCGACACGAGCCAAAGATTGTCTGCCGACTTGGGGAACTTCACAATCCTGACTTCGCCGGGTTCCTAAACCGAAACCGGCTTTTTGGTTTTGGGGGTGCGGTGTTTAGGATTTAGGGGAAAGCCTACAAAGCTTAAATGCTGGCCCAGGGTTGGGCCATGCTAAGACTCTGGGACCAGGGGTCAAGTGGGAGTTTAGGGCTTTAGGCTTTAAGGCTCAATGGGGAATTCAGGGCTTCAGGGTTGGGGCACTTGGCAATCCTGGTTGGGAGGGCCATCGCTTGGGCTGCCACTTGGGGAAACTAGGTTTGTGGGACCAGGCGCCAAGACTTCAAAGGCGGGACATAGACGGGAAGATGGTCGAAGGCCTCATTGCGAAGCCTTTAATTCGATAAGTCCCGAGGCTCCGTAGTATTATCCACAACTTCCGATGCCGCAATGCCCGTTCATGAGATCTTCGCGTCATGGCGTGATGTCGGAGCTCCAACCGAAACACTATGAAACTTTTAAACTGCGGCTGCTGCATACCCCACACTATGTTTGGACGCCTTACTCCAACACCGCTGAGCCGGGAAGAGCAATGGCTGTCAGGGCTCTGTAGGTTCAGGTCCACCGCATTGCCCACGCTGGGGTTGCTGATGGCGAACTGCCTGGCCACTTCACCTCAGAGCAGCGAATCCATTAGCTTGATCCTAGAGTGTTGGCCAGAGAATGGTAGTGGTGGTGCTGTTGTTGTCGGTGGTGGTGGTCAGGAACCCTGAACCCTAGACCGTGGCTTGCATATTGGCTCAAGGCTACTTGGTCGAGTTAGCAGCTAGCAGGACTGCCACAAGCCCGTACTCATGACCTGATTCGTGTGTGTGTAATACATGTATATATATATATATATATACTTATTTATTTATACACATGTGTATATATACATATATATGTATAGATAGAGAGAGAGAAGGTGTAGGTTACATCCATATGCATATATATATATATATACACACATATTACACACAAATATCTGTGTGTGTGTGTGTGCAAGAGTAGCCTTTGTTCGAAGACCAACAAGCCACCCCGAAGTACCTTCCAAAAACCGAAGTCCAAATAAAGCCGCTCATTCTCTGGTTCAAAGAAGTCTCAGTAGGCCGGATGCAGAAACTTGAGCAAGAAGGCTCGAGTGCTGTACCCTATTTGAGCCCGACACCCCGAAGCCCCAACTGTCTGGTTCTTAGTAGGGAATGGGGGAATGGATTATGGAGACCATTATTGGGAATTATATGGGGGCTACTATAGGGACCCATTTCCCCATTCCCTGGTACCAGACAGCCAAAGCCTCGAAACCCTGAACCCCTGATATAAATCCTGCATTACCTTAAGGACCCTTGTCTATGGGAGCTATGGTATATTCCTTATTATGGGTAATGCAGGATTTATATCATCAACCGTCGAACTCTTGAGTCTCGGGCTGCTGGCAAGGGATATGTCTGCTTGCGCCGAGTCATATAAGGGAAGCCTCGGCTTAAAACAGCAGCCAGCTCTAGGGCTGCTGCTGGGGAACCCAGTGGTTCGGTTTAGGGTTTAGGGTTTGGGATTTAGGGTTTAGGGTTTAGGGTCTGGGATTTAGGTTTCAAGGTGATCCGGGTTTGGGATTTAGGGTTTAGGGTTTAGGGTCTGGGATCTAGGTTTCAAGGTGATTCGGGTTTGGGATTTAGGGTTTAGGGTTTAGGGTCTGGGATTTAGGCTTCAAGGTGATTCGGGTTTGGGATTTAGGTTATAAGGTTAGAGTGTCAGGCACCTCAGAAACTCGGATCCGCACTCTCTTCTTAGCAAGCAATTGAAATCGGGGAGTGGTTGGGGGGGCGGGTGTTAAGGGGTCCCCATAAGGATTCCAATCATGAAGGTTTTGCGTGAAGTGTCCGAGGGGTCCTTTCCAAGGGCTCTAGAAGAGTCTTGAAATGGATGCATGCCGGTTTCAGAAGGCTCAGGGGTTTGGGGTTTCGGGCCACTTTGGGGGTGAGGTTTTCAGAGGTCCGAGTCTCTACACAGATCAGAGCAGCCGACGATTCTGCATGGGTGGGAGGTTCATATCTTTAATGAACCTTAAGCTCTAAAAGCCCTACTCAAGCTACACGCTAAACTTTAAAAGCCTTGGCCGCAGGCCACCCTGATTCAGGGGCATTAATAATTAGAATAGGGATTTGGGGCCCAGTATACTATACTTATAGTAAGAAACCCTAACAATAGTATTGGTAGTTATTTAGGCTCCTATAGTACCATCAGCCAAAGAGCTGGCTGATGCCTCCTCCTGCCACTTCAACCTGGCCGTCTTTGACTAGGATGCCCGAAAACCTAGGAATAGAAAAGGGATCCTTTTTTGGTATTGGGTAACTTAAGGGACCTAGGACTACAAAAACGGAATAAGGGCATTACTGGGCATCCTAGTTCAGGTGCACCAGTTCAACGGGTTCAGGCATCGGGTTCTTCGGGCTGTCGGGCTTCAGGGCAACCAGGGGCTTTAGGGGGTTAGTTAGGGGTTTAGGGTTTAGGGCTTCGGGCGTTTCAGGTTTATGGCTTCGGACGTGTATTTTCGGAACTTGCCTGCTGGTAGTCTCCAGCCAGCTCGAGTTGCATTTAGACCGCATACATCAGGAGCAATTGGTGCTGCACAGCGCCGACGGTCTGGTGCACCGCTACAAGTAGCTGGGACGGCAGTAGGTAATATCGGGGCCTAAATAATTACCAACACTTTCTTGGGAGTTCCTTATTATAACTATGGTATAATGGGCCGCAAAACCGTATTGAATTTATGAAGGCCTCCATATTTTCATCCCCTAACTCTGGGTTCCTGGACCAGTCCAGCAACCTTGTCACGGATGCTTTGAGGTGTCTACAAAACTCGCAAAGTTGAAGTGCATAGTGAATCTGTGCGCGGCAGTACGACGAACCGCAGCAGCGCTCGTTTCAGTTACTCTTCGTCCTGCTGTCTCTGGATTGAAGCCCTGATGCCCCAAAACACGCCCTATGCAAAACCCCGTAAAGCCATAAAGCCTTACACAGCCCTATATACATCCCTGGGAAGCTAAACCCTAAACCCTAAACCGAAGCCCTTTCACACCAAAATGCGGCCCCCCGAAGCAATCCCTATAGAACAGCTCTGAAGCTCCATGCAACCCTAAAACCTAAACCCTAAACCTTAAACCGGTTTAGGTTTTAGGGTTTAGAGTTTAGGGTTTAGGGTTTCCCCGAAAAGCACGAACACAGCAACCTTTCGTTTGTAGGCCTTCAGGGTTCCCAGAGGCTCTAAGATCCGTGAAGTAAAGTAGATTCCTGAACTTATAGTAGGATCCCTAATAGGATTTAAGGGATAATCCTTAGTTAAGGGATAGTGGAGTCTCTGGGTTGGGGGTTTAGGATCCTAATGCCCTGAGGAAGCGTCATGCAGAGCCAGGCCTCTAAGCTGGCTTTCAAGGAGCCCGTATAGACCAGGTTGCCTTGGATCTTCGGGGTTTACTTAGATCTCCCAACTGCCCGCAAATATACCCGACAAACCCACTATCCAGGACCATAAGGGCTCCATCAAAGGGCCATTGGGGGGTCCTGGTGCGGTTTTTGATTGTTGGATTCAGGATTTTGGGTTCGGGATTTAAGGCTTTGAGGGTTTAGGGCTTTGGGGTCAGGGTGTTGGGCTTAGGTTTTAGGGTCTAGACTGTCTCTTGAAGTGCATCCAGCTGCAGCGAAGAGAAGCAAAATAAGAATGCTGGCTATTAACAAAAGCGCTTCCACAATCACATGCAAATCGCCTTATCAAACACCTGTCAAGGCGCCTCTATCCCACATGGCAAATGGAAGGCTTTTTAGTGAATGCTCTTCCTGAAATCCCTAAACCCTAAACCCCCCAACAATATGTCCTCCCTGTCCATCACTTCGGATTTCTGGGACAGTCATCCTCACACATTCCCAGCGGCTCTTCAGAAAGAGGTTCGCAGTCGAGAAGTAAGTAACAGGTCCAACAATGAGCACAAACCTTAGAGTGGAGCAAGTCGCGCGCAAGGGGCTGAAGTTGCTTGGGGCTTTTGGGCTACGAATAACACGGACTGCTCAGGACTTAGCGGATTTAGGGTTCGACTTTTCAGGACCTTTTACGTAGGAGGTGTAGGATTTCAGGTTCTGGGTCGAATTCAGATTCTTCCGAGTGGAACTCATGCGCCGGCCTTTCAATGCTCCGATGTGACAACAAAGATGCTTGTCAACCTATAATAATCTAGACTCAATATTACGAAATCTGCCCGAGCTATGTTGCAAGAGTATCACATTCTGTCTATGACGAAAGAAAGCTGTTTCAGAAAACTACTGAACCCTGATATTTGACCGACAAGATCTGAACCCTAAGACCGAAACCCTAAACCCCAAGGTCCGACTCCCAAGCCCTAAATACCTAAAGCCCTAAACACCTAAAGTTTTAATCCAGACAGTTAACCCTACGCCCAACACCCCCTAAACCCTACACCCCATTGCCTGGGGCTGTATATTTAAATCAAGCAGCCCAAAGGAGTAGAGCCAGTAATCACGCAGATCCATATTACCCCAGACTGCCACGCGTTTTAGGGGTTTGGCGCAGACCCTGAAAGTCTGATAGCCTTGAGAAACCAGCACCCAATGCGCTCTGGGGTTTGGGTTCAAGGTCCTAGCAGCACACCATCTTCTTGCAAATCCGAAGCCTTGAATGAACCCCCAAAGCATTCTCGAGCCAAGACCCTTGACCCTACACCGAAGTCCTTGGCCTTGAGCCCAAAATTCCATAGACCTTCTGTTGATGGACAAAATCCTGCATGACCCTAAGGACTCTAAACTATGGGAATTATGGTATCTTCCTTATAATGTGTAGTGCAGGATAGATAGATATATATATATATATATATATATCCCTCAACCCAAAAAACCCTATAGATCCCTTAAAGGAGCCCCTTAAGGGTACCCTCATAGCTCTCTTTAAAGGAACCCTAAATCCTAGGACTCAACCTTTTTTGTAACCCCCTAGGATACCCAGTAACCTAAGAATAAAAAGGCCTCTCTTTTTGGTATTGGGCAACGTTATAAGGAACCTAGGACTAGAAAAGGGGAATAAGGGTACTACTGGGCATCCTAGGTTTGTAACCCCCGCTTGCAGGAGAAGGCGCAGGGCGAGCAAGAAGAGACCACCTTGGAGCACCTGGACCGTGGAAAGATCTGGGAGGGGTTTAGGGTTTAGGGTTTAGGATTTAGGGTTTAGGGAAAGATCTGGGAGTTTCCGGAAATTAGGGGTATCTTTAAAGGGATCCTTTAAGGGTTCCTTTAAGGGATCTATACAGGGTTTTTTTAAAGGGATCTGTAGGGTTTAGGGTTTAGGGTTTGGGAGTTTCCGAAAATTATAGGGATACCTTATTTGGGGATCCTTATAATAAGAATCCTATTATTTAGGGTACTATATTAGGGTCCCCTATTTTCGGAAACTCCCATCGTTCAATGTGGATCTAGAAGGGAACTGTGGGGATGTAGAAGGGATCTATAAGGATTTATCAAAGTTCTAGAGGATCTATAGGGATTCAGAAGAGATCGTGAGGGATGTATACTAAACTAACCCCTAGAAGCAGTATATCCGGAAGGAGCATTCCGAACAACTGCTTGTTTTCACAAGTCTTCCGACCTTGGGGGTGCCTTCATACAACGCACTTAAAGCTCTGCAACTCAGCGCAGCAACATTTATGCAGAGGTTTAAACATAGATATACAGACCTCGATCGAAGAAGATAGATAACTAGAGATAGACATCGAAAAGAATAGAATAATTAGGGTGGACCAGGTGAGGAATAGGTGAGGTCAGACAGACGGATAGATGTTACGTAGATGGCCAAGCAGATAGACCGATGGATGACAGCTAGAAAGATAGGTAGGTATGCAGGTAGTTAGGTAGATAGGTAGATTGAGCGTCTGTAGATTTCAATATAACTTGGCTTGACTCTTTGCGTTCCAAGGACCGTTATTTAGATGTCGAAGGCCTCTCGGAATCTCGAGAGAACAGCCGAAAGCCGATCAACTCTATCAAAACCTAACCCTGAAAACCCTAAACCTTAGATCCCTAAACCCGCGCCTAAACTGAACTTTAAGCTTGGGGGTTAAATACACGCAAGCGAACCTAAACCTTACACCGCAACCTAATCAACCCAAATGCTGCTCCTGCAAAAGCGCCTTCTCATGGATGGGGCGTTTGGCATACGGCTTCACCTGGCATTGGGGATGTGGCTTTGGGACGTGCGTGCGGAGGCATTATGGCTTTAGGGTTGAGCATGTGGCGTTTTAGGGGCCCGGAGCAAAGGGTTTATGAGGGTTTGGTCTTTAGGTTCCTGAATGACCCCGCAAAACCACAATGTAACCCTTTCTCCCTCTGTAACTACAGTAAATCCCATAAAGTTGGAAACCGGACTAAGGGCAAATCGTGCTGGGATTCCTTATACATTACTCTTCAGGATTGAGGCTATGGGGTTTCCAACTTTTGCGCTTCTACTGTATTCAGTTTCAAGAGACCAAGCTCATCTCGAGAAATGCATTCACTTCACCCCAAAGCTAAACCCTAAACCCTAAACCCTAAACCTAGACCCTTAGCCGCCTTGGGGAAGCCTCTTGGCAACACACAGAACGTGCGAATTCCGAGCTGTTGAGCCCTTCGACCTAAGACCCGGACTGTTTAGGGTTTACAGTAAACTCCATAAAGTTGGAAACCGGAAAAAGGCAAAATAGTGCTGGGATTCCTTATACATTACTTTTAAGGATTGAGGCTATGGGGTTTCCAACTTTCTGGCTTCTACTGTAGGGTTCCTCTAAAGGGTACTATAAGGGCTCCTTCAGGGGATCTACAGGGCTTAGGGTTTTATGGTTCGGGGCCTCAGGGCTTGTTTATACGGTTTTCATGGCTTCAGGGCTCAGGCATTCGGGGTTCGGGCTGCTTGGGTGTGTTCGTCTTTGCACAGTAGCCGGAACTGCCACGACCATGATGCCAAGACTAACAACGACACAACGCAAAACCATCGTTAAGAGCAGTGTGATTCAAAAACTGAAGCCCGAAGTCTATGCGCAAAAGCCTCTGAAAACTCCAACCCTCTAGGGGATAGGTCAGAGGGTTTAGAGAATTATGTAAACAAAGGTCTAGGGTCTAGGATGCGGAACATGCGTTTAGGAAGTTCAGCAGTTGGATGTGGTGTAGGATGTTAGTTTAGGGGTGCAGCTTTTCAGAAAAGCATGGCGTCGGGCACGTACTTCCGGGCGTTCATGTCGCACCTCACTTTGTACAGGTTCTGCTGGGCGTCCTCAAAGGGGTGGGTGCCAGATCCTACACATACCTTGCGGATGTCCGGGCAACCTACGCCCTACGCTGTAAACACTAGCCCTAAACCCGATCCCAAACGCCATACCTAGTAAGTAGCTTTCAAATTTGGGGTTTTATAAGTCCCCTAATTCGGGCTACATAGGGTTATGCTAGGTTTAAGAACTTCCCCTTCAGAAGCCCCGCCGCCCGCCGCTTCCAAAGGTCCTCCAGCTTGAACCACATGAAAAGGTTCATGGATGTCTCTGTGACCGTCCAGTCGGTCAAGACCTGAGGTCGAGGCTTCAATATAGGGGCCTGAATAATAATTGGAATATGCTTTGGGGGCCCATTCTCCTGGAATTATTGTAAGAAACTCCCAAAATAGTACTGAGTACTGATGATTACTTAGGCCCGTTTGGGGTTATGGCTTTGCAGACTTCGGGGGGGATTGAGAGCCATTTGCAAAATCGGATTTGGGGCCACGGTTTAGGGTTTAGGGTTTAGGGTTTAGGCCAGCGAATGTGGCGCTCAGCCAAAAAGTAGAATGTAGCTGCACATAGCTATACTGAACTTGGAACCCTTGCAAAAATTTCAATTGTAGCTGTTTCTTAGGGATTAGAATAACCAGAAATTAAAAACTATTTCTAAGTACCCTTAAGATAGATGTGGCGGATGCATTAGAATTGGTGACCTGGTCTTCGTCCTGGTGATAGTCGTCAATACGCATGTACGCTGAAGTACGTAGGAAGAGCAGCCCTAGCAGAAGAAGCACCCGTACAACATAGAAATTCAACTACATCGCAAGTGTCGTTGTTCGACAGAAGCACGCTGAGAGAAATCCGGAGGTTCGGCCGCAAGACATCCTTCTTCCGAGTCGTGATAAAGACAAACCCAGAATCTGTCGAGCTGGGGTTTAGGATCCACGGGTCCGGGCCTCATTCGCAGGCCACAGGAAACCACAAGTAAATACCTTTGTTCGAAAAAACAAATTGAAACCGTCTAAGGGACCCTCACCATTTCAATCTTCCCCTTGAGCCCCGTCCACAAGAATCAAAACCTAGAACGCGCAGTAAAACCTGAGACCAACACGCGAAGCTCTTCAAGAAAGGGAACGGTCGTGTACACCTCGCATCAAAGATTCCGACCAGGACTGCAATGTGAGAGTTTAAAGAAATCTGGGGAATAGGGTAAATGTTTCACGTTTAACCGGCAGGCCCGGAAGGTGCCTCGAAACCGTAAAACCCCTGAATAAGAACCCACAGCAGCCGATCACCCAGCTCACGCATTGGCCCATGATATGCAACAGAGTATGAGTTAGATACTGAGGCTAACAAACAGGGCGGTATCAGACAAGGAAGCTATCTCTTCAATACTTCGGATGCAAAGTAGTCCGGTATACTCGCGCGAAGGCGTGAGTCAGAGCAGAACCATGTCCCGATCAGCCATCTCATGCACTGGCCCAAGATATGCCACCAATTAATAAAGGGGCCTTAATAATTAGAATAGCGTCTTGGGGCCCATTATACCATTATATCTTAATAGCAATAGTAATGAACCCCCAAAATAGTATTGCTCACTCGTCCTGAGGTCCTCCGCGATGCTTGTTGAGTGCGATCATTTCATCGTTCACAGCCCTTCACTGCAAAGCTACAACATGCCATCCTTAAAATCCCTGGCTGCATGATCTGATTTCGGGCTGAGATAACTGGGTTCAGGGTTTAGCATTCAAGGTTTAGGAGGATTGAGTGTCGGTCGGACATGCGTCTGTCAAGCAGGGAAGCGTAGGGCCTTGCCTAGGAGAAAATGAGACTGGGCTTCTACTTATTCAACAGGGGTTTATGGTTACAGGCTGAGGGTTTGGAGTTGAGATAGATATTTAGACTGCTTGGATACGAAAGTCAAACCTATAACCCCTAAACCCTAAACCCTAAATTACGCCCTCAACCCTAAAGTCCAAGGCCACAACCAGAGAGGATTCCCAAATAAACTTCCGCTTCAAGGACATATACCAGAAACCTATAACAAGGATCACTAAACTCAAGATGGTAGGTTTTTGGGGGGTTGAGGTAAACCCTAAACCCTGAACGCCTGGAGTCTGGAGAGGACACTCCACATACACCCACTATGCACCCAACACGGGGGTTTTCAGGGTTTAGGGTTTAGGGGTTTAGGACTTGAGGTCCCCCTTCTCCTGGTGGTATTCAGCCTACCGACTCAAGATAGCACGAAAAGCAACGCGCACATGAGATCATCAAGCTAAGAAGCTCTGACACCACAATCCGACAGAAGCAGCAGGTATCATTTCGGGTCAAGACTGCCAGACCACCAACGTTGCAACACAAGTAAGCCTAAGTTGTTGGGTTTAGGACCCAGGGCGTTCAACCGGATGTTAAGCCCATTCTGCAAGTGGGTAGTTGTCAAAATTAGGGTCCCTTCTTGGGTACCCTAAGTATTAGGTGCCGCATTATAAGAAGGACCCGCAAAAGGGACCCTAATTTTGACAACCACCCAAGTTACTACGAGAAGCTCACGAGCTGCCAGAACCGAAGAGCTCCAACATCTTGAACCCGCGGCATTTTCCGAAAGTTCGGGGTTCCTTGCTAAAGCGATCCTTTAAGGGTTCCTTAAAGGGATCGATCGATGTGGGTTCTATAAAGGGTTTAGGGCTTAGAGTTGGGAGTTTCCGAAAGTCGGGGTACCTCATTTTGGGGTCCTTGCAAGAAGGATCCTACTATTTAGGGTACTATATTAAGCTCCCCTACTCTCGGAAACACCCAGTTCAAAGGGTTAATGTAGGAACCTGATTTTAAAAAATGGCCCTATAGCCCCTGTATATTAGGGTTCATATAAGGAACCCAAATGAGGACCCAACGTTTCTTAATCAGGTTCCTACGTCAGAGTTCAGGGTTTAGGCGGTTTAGGCTTTAGGGAACCCTAAGGCACCAAAACACAAGAGTAAGACCCAACTAAAGCCCCACTGACAAACGTTGCGACTAGGCCTAAGACTAAGACCTTAACTCTTAAAAACCCTAAACCCTCGACTCTTAAAGCCCTAAACCCTCATCTCGTAAAACCTTGAATCCTCAAAGCAGGGCGGCCTTGAAAAGAAGCCAGGGGACCATGTCGACCTGGTATCCGCTTGTGCTTGAGCTGAGGGTTTAGGGTTTAGGGATACAAGGTTTAGGGTTTGGGGCTTCGGGTCCAGGGTTTAGGGATGTAAGGTTCCAGCTATGGGGCCGAATGTTTCGCATTTAGTTTAGGATTCAGGGCTCAAGCTTTTTGAACTTGGGAGTTTAGGGCTCAAGCTTCTTTAACGTAGGTGGGGCTCAAGTTTTGTGAAGAGGGTTTCGGTGCCCATTACTTTTTTAACTATAAGGAACCCCCCAAAATAGTGTATAGGTAATGTTAAGGGCCCTATATTAGGGAAGCCTAGGGTTAATGATTTAGGGCCACGGTATGTATGACTTAGGACTACACCCCATCCCTAGAAGCCCTGCAACCCTGAAGAACTAAACCATACTAAATCCAGAAATCGGTCGACTAAACCAAAACCGTTAACCCTGAACCCCCAAACCCTGCGATGCACACTGAACCCCTTCAGTAATGCCCTGCGAAGGGACTGCAAGGGGCCAACCCGAACCTTAAGCCTTAAGCCTACACCCAATAGTGAGCAAGACAGCCCGAACCAGCCTTAAGCCTACACCCAATAGTGAGCAAGACAGCCCGAACCAGCCTTAAGCCTACACCCAATAGTGAGCAAGACAGCCCGAACCAGCCTTAAGCCTACACCCAATAGTGAGCAAGACAGCCCGAACCAGCCTTAAGCCTACACCCAATAGTGAGCAAGACAGCCCGAACCAGCCTTAAGCCTACACCCAATAGTGAGCAAGACAGCCCGAACCAGCCTTAAGCCTACACCCAATAGTGAGCAAGACAGCCCGAACCAGCCTTAAGCCTACACCCAATAGTGAGCAAGACAGCCCGAACCAGCCTTAAGCCTACACCCAATAGTGAGCAAGACAGCCCGAACCAGCCTTAAGCCTACACCCAATAGTGAGCAAGACAGCCCGAACCAGCCTTAAGCCTACACCCAATAGTGAGCAAGACAGCCCGAACCAGCCTTAAGCCTACACCCAATAGTGAGCAAGACAGCCCGAACCAGCCTTAAGCCTACACCCAATAGTGAGCAAGACAGCCCGAACCAGCCTTAAGCCTACACCCAATAGTGAGCAAGACAGCCCGAACCAGCCTTAAGCCTACACCCAATAGTGAGCAAGACAGCCCGAACCAGCCTTAAGCCTACACCCAATAGTGAGCAAGACAGCCCGAACCAGCCTTAAGCCTACCCCAATAGTGCAGCAGCCCGAACCAGCCCGAACAAGACAGCCCGAACCAGCCTTAAGCCTACACCCAATAGTGAGCAAGACAGCCCGAACCAGCCTTAAGCCTACACCCAATAGTGAGCAAGACAGCCCGAACCAGCCTTAAGCCTACACCCAATAGTGAGCAAGACAGCCCGAACCAGCCTTAAGCCTACACCCAATAGTGAGCAAGACAGCCCGAACCAGCCTTAAGCCTACACCCAATAGTGAGCAAGACAGCCCGAACCAGCCTTAAGCCTACACCCAATAGTGAGCAAGACAGCCCGAACCAGCCTTAAGCCTACACCCAATAGTGAGCAAGACAGCCCGAACCAGCCTTAAGCCTACACCCAATAGTGAGCAAGACAGCCCGAACCAGCCTTAAGCCTACACCCAATAGTGAGCAAGACAGCCCGAACCAGCCTTAAGCCTACACCCAATAGTGAGCAAGACAGCCCGAACCAGCCTTAAGCCTACACCCAATAGTGAGCAAGACAGCCCGAACCAGCCTTAAGCCTACACCCAATAGTGAGCAAGACAGCCCGAACCAGCCTTAAGCCTACACCCAATAGTGAGCAAGACAGCCCGAACCAGCCTTAAGCCTACACCCAATAGTGAGCAAGACAGCCCGAACCAGCCTTAAGCCTACACCCAATAGTCAGCAAGACAACCCGAACCATAACCCCACGCCCCAAACCCTGAACTCTGAAACCCTGCACTTAGAATGTAGATCCTGGACCCCGAGACCCAGTTCCCGAAACCAAACACGCCAAATCTTGGACTATAAACCTTACTTAACCCAAATCCAAGACTCTAAACCCAAAAGCACAGGTCCTAAAACTTGATCCTTGCACTCTACAGCCTAAACGAACCCCAAGGGTACCCAAATTTTATATACTCTGTGCGTAAAGTAATATAATGGGCCCCTGCAGGAAGGCTTTCGTGAGGCCACGGGGCGCTGTGGGTCAGACCGAGTCCGCCCCGCACGATGTGCACCTTGATGTCGCTTGGGTTGGACATCCCCCTTTTGCAGGACCCTACGTGACTTGAAAAGGCTTTTGCAGGTGTGTAGGACATTTTTGTAACAGTTCATATACCCCTGTAGTCCGCAGGGTTTCGGGGTTTCGGGTTTAGTGTTCTAGGGTGTTTGGGCTCAGGGTGCCGTGCGTTTTTGTCTGCGTTTCTGGGTTTGTTGCCTCAACGGCCCCTAAACCCTAAACCCTAAACCGTGTAACGGTCTATATCCCGTCAGTCGGTATGCACTGCAGTCTACGATTCAGGAGGAACTGTTGGCAGGCACGCTGCACTCAACAAGCCGCCAGGCACCATGCTCTCTGAATCACCTGACTGCACCTTTACAAAACCCCTAAGAGCCCTAACAACACTAGGCGACGATTTCAACAGTCCGCAAAACTATTTGTAAAGAGGGGCTCTATGTTAAGCAGTCTGGGAAATTCAAGATTATCCCAAAACAATACCTAAGACCTATCAATAGCATGGCTTCCCTCTCCTGGGAAATAAAAGCCCAAAACCCAGACCTTCCAAAATACCTTATCAACGGAAAATACCTTAGCTCATACTAGGGATCCTACTAAAATTCAAGGTATATTCCTTATCAAGGGATATTGGAGTCCACTAAACCCTATAAGCCTTATAACATTTTCCGGAACCCTAGGTATTCCTTTCAGAATCCACGGGCTCCAGGCGTCGTAACTCAGCTGCAAGGCAGAGAGGATCAAGTAGACCCTGGGCTGTCTCGAGTCTCAGGTGCTGGCTCCTGTACAAAATCTTAGGGTTTAGGGTTTAGGGGTATACTTGCAGGATCATAGCATCTGGTAACTAAGGTTATAAGCAAGGCAACCATATCCTCATAACTACTTATATTACTTATAGCCCCAATTAGGGCTTAGGGATTTCAGCGGCTAAGGGTTTAGGGTTCACGATGTTGAGGGCTTGGGGCGTCGCGCTTCAGGCTTAGTTCGAGCTTCAGGTTTGGCCTTGGGAGCCGGGGGAACCTGGGTACTTGGAGGATCATAGGACTTAGTAAGTAGGGTTATAAGTCCCCTAATTGGGGTTACAAGTAATTATAAGTATAGTTACTTAATTTATAGCCCTAGTTACTAACTAGGTCCCATGATCCTTTAAGTAGGTCTTAACTAATGCCCTATGCGTAAGTGCTTTGGGAAAGACACAGATCGAGGGTCTAAACAATGCAATGAAAGCACAGTTTTTGAAGCAGATTGTTACGCGTATTCCTGTATACAGGGCAACTACCTTGAATATGGGAGCGGGGATCCTCTGGATTCAAACCTCCGTGTCCAAAACTCGTGCTAGATGGGTAAAAACTGGCCCTTTCCGGGCTTCAGGGCTCACAGCTTTAGAGGGTCTGGGTTCCCCGAGATAGAGATAGTGTTCACTAAAACAAATCACCAAGACGGCAAACACAGCGGGGTGGAACGTGCACAACACCAAGGTTCGCGTGTGCGCATATCTGTGCTTGTGCACATGACCTTCTCGTTCTCATCCTAGGATACCTAGTAACCTAAGAATAAAAAGGCCTCTCTTTTTGGTATTGGGTAACTTTATAAGGAACCTAGGACTACAAAAAGGGAAGAAGGGTACTACTGGGCATCCTAGCATCGGTTGCTACTGCTTGTACTGTAGTCGGATCTTGGGACTCAGCGCTCGATGCCTCTCTTAACTCTGGGGAACGTTCAGAAACGGTTTAGGGTTTAGGGTTTAGGGACCGTGACACATCATGCACCAAAGGACAAGGCGGTGCTACGGCTTAGAAATCCCCACGCCTGCCATTGGATTAAGCCCGTACTTGAGCAATGACCACTTCTACACCCAAAAGAAGTCGAAACGCCACACCCTAAACCGGTGCTTTCGAGTTTCGAAAGACTCTTATGTAGAGACATAACTTTGGAAGCTCTGACTTCTGGAAGTTAAGAAGGCCCAAACCCTGAAGCCCCAATACCCCAAAGTCCTCGACACGAAACCCAAAAGCCCCCGATTGCCCTAAATTAGGCTCTCCTTCCCAAACTCTTCAAGACTGCTGTCTAGATTGCCCCGAGCCCCACATCCACAACTCTCAACCCTAAGCCCGAAACCCTGAAGCCCTAAATCCAAAACTCTCAACCGCAAAACCTCAAGCCCTAAGTCACAAACCCTCAATAGCCCCCTTAAGCTCCCCGCACGTAGAAGACGTAGAAGCAGAGGAGGGCAAAGTTTTGCAACATTGAGGCCTTTGGTAGGTATTCCAGGGTTCAGGGCTTCGGAATACGGCTAGGATAGAGAGTTTATTTGGTGCCTTTCAACCGTGCGCACTCAGAGATATTTCTGTCGCAAGGTTTCCGTATCGAGCAAAGCCACAGAACCCTTCCAGAGCCCTCAAGGAACCCTTGTGGAGCCCTTGTCCCTTTAGACATCCCTCTTTCAACATTGTGACGAATTTTGCCATACGTCTGTATCTATGCGTATATATATATATATATATATATATATATATATGTAATAGGTATTTACATGCAGACATGCATACAAGCATACATACATGCATGAATACATACATGCATACATACATACATACATACATGCATATCTATCTATATCTAAACCGATATGTTATATATATATATATATATATATATGTATGTATGTATATATATATATATGTCTAAAAGTAGGTTTGCAGAATTCGAACACTAACAATAATACTGCTACTAATATTTGTAAAACTAGTACCACTAATCACTAATCATTAACAGTAAAACAGTCAGAATAAGGTTCCTTTAGTGGGTTCTTTGGAAGGGCTACCACAAGGGTGTAGTTCAGGGGCCTTAATAATTAGAATCGGGTTTTGAGCTCCATTGTAGTATAAGAATAATAAGGAACCTTCAGGAAAAATGGTCAATATTTAGGATTCTATAGTGTGTTCAGGGGCGGGGCTTCGGGTTTTGTTTTTGGGTAGGTTTAGGATCTTGGGTTTAGGGCCATGGATGGGTTATGCATTTGGGAACATGGATGCTGCGGACTTGATGCCAAATCACCTGGTGGCAACGAAATTGCACACATAGTCTTTCCAGTCTCCGTGCAAGGTATCATCGCCGCAGCGTGCTGTCCATTCCACACGCCGCAGTATTTACGTCTGTTGCGGGAGGAGCAGTCTTAAAACTAGGTGAATCGCTCCGGGGCATTAGCAACTCGACTCAGAGCACCAGCGTCCACGGGCAGTGTGTGGCCAGTGATGTACCGAGCCTGGTCACTCAAGAGAAAGGAGCATGCATCAGCCACGTCCCTTGCTTGCGGAATCGCAGGAATCGCATGGTAACCAGTCAAGGTGCTGTGGGTGAGAGCCGGATCAGAGCTCTGCTCGATAAAGGTCTTCACCATGGGTGTTTCACAGCCAGTGGGCGCGAGAGCATTGACGCGAATCTTGTTGCTGCCGTACTCGACGGCGGCTGCACGTGTTATGCCGCGTATTGCAAACTTAGCAGCCGTGTAGGGGCCCAAGTTGATAAGTCCGCGGAATCCAGCAATAGACGACATGTTGACAATGCTGCCGCCAGTCTCTTGCTGGACCATTTGCTTCAGTCCGTACTTAAGACCATAGAAGACGCCGTTCAGATTGATGTCGATGACACGTCTCCATTCCTCGATGTCATAATCTGCAAGCAATACTTGGGATCCAACAACTCCAGCATTGTTCACGAGGGCGTCGAGACTTCCATAGGCTTCAACGACATGCTTCACAGCAGCCTCTACTTGCTTGGGATCAGTTACATCGGCTTTAACGAACTTGCCTTTAATCTCCTCAGCGAGGGGCTGTCCATCCTGCACGTCTGCGATGACAACCTTGTACCCATCATCAGCGAGTCGACGAGCAATGGCTTCTCCCAGCCCCTGAACCCCTCCGGTGACCAGTGCAGACTTTTGGCGGTACACAGAGCTGGCAAAAGATCGAGCGGCTGCTATGCGAAGGGTTGATTGCAACATGACAGTTGTGTCTGTCTGCTATTGGTCCGAGCAAACCTCAACACACTATGGGGCGAGTTGAAGAAAATCGATCTTGCACTGTCGCGCTGTCTGCACTGTTTCAACGATAGATGTATCCAAGTGTCGAAGTTGGGAAAATTAAGATCTACTGCGTGAGCTTGCCGCAGCATGCGCTGCAGTAGCATGAGCCAAACCGTAAACCCTTAACCATCCCACTGTGTGGAACGAAAAAGCAGCTGAGCCCTAACCCCTGACTCTAATTGTTGCGAGCAGCATTATCTTCAGAGCTGAGGCTACGAATCTTCTGGGTTCTTTTAAGGAACTTATAAGTAGGTTACAATAAAGCTCCGACCTGTTGTTTACGCAAACGTGGTACCGGTAAGTAAGTTGCTAAACAAGAACCTAGTCTTGGAATACAGACTTGCATTTCGAATTCCTCAAATGTCGCTGGTGCTCCCTTGGCATCGTCGTATAGTGGTCGGAATAATTGTCATAGTGCTTCCTTATTATAGACCGTAAAGTTACTATAGCATGCTAATCATTAAGGTTCATTAAGGCACACCTATAGTTATCCTAACCGCAGAGCCCTAATGGCTAGATCTGCACTCACACAGCCCGACTCTGGGGAGCGCGCGGGTCAGATCCTGCTTTTGGAGTGTCGAACCAGCTTTTGGAAAATTCGCGGGAACCCCGCACCCTTACGTCTTGAGAGAAGGATCGCAGACTGTTACTTGTTAATATCAACTTGGAAGATATGCCTCCGAGAACCTGTGCAACCACTGGCACATGTTGGTGCGCGTAATACAGGGGCCCCCAATAATTACAAGTGGATCGTAACAGAGTTCCGAGCGTCGACTCACAAGCACCCGAGAACCACAAAGTGCGAAACCGGAAACCAAGCCAAGAGTCCACCGAATAATTTGCATGTGGAGGCCTCAAGAAGGAGAATAGGGTTTTGGGTTGTTTTTCTTGTGCGTAAGCAGAATAAAGAACCCTAAGAAACAACAGTCAGAGGTATATAATGACTCCGGCACATTATTTCTACTGCCACCCCCTCAACCCTAAACCCCAAACCCTACATCCTGTGGGGCTTCGGTTCACTCTGGGGTTTGAAGCGAATCGGGAAAGAACGACTCCCTGTCCAAGGCTGCGGCTTGGGCAGCTGAAGTGCTCGGGCACACGGCCTGTAGTGGGATCAGAGTCTAGGGTTTAGGGTAGGGTTAGAAGTTTCAGAGCCCCAACTCTCTGCAGATTTGTGGTTAAGGAGCCCTCAACCCCACCAAAGCGATTTGAGAAGTTACGCAGAAGCCTCCATGCGAAGATGATCCTCAAGGCATACCGATGCTACTTTTCTGCAATCTCATGCCGCCGCCACGAACTAACCAAGTTCGAGCACGCACCCCAATAGCCCCCAGTAGGCTCAGTATCAATTTGTCAGTTCGAGTCGACTGCTACTGAGCCTTCCCCCCGGAAATGGTAGACAAACTTGGGCTGAAAGTTCAAAGGGTTCTCTGCCAACAAAAGCCAACAGATGATGGGAGTTTCAGGAAAGAGCCGTAGTCTCCATCTAGAACCAAAACGTGACTATAGGTACTTCTATAACGGACATAACAGGATCGCTATAGTGCTGTAAAGACCCACCTAATACTACTCATGCTGGCATTGAACGAAGACAACCCTAGTGACCTGCTGAAGGGCGCGAACAACGAACCTCATCATAAAGATCATCACTGCTAGTGTTGGACCTTTCAACTGATGACTCGCACGTTGGCACTTCAACTTCTATCGAAGTTCACATTTTGTCATACCTAGAAGTTTTGTTTGACAAACAAACTGAGCAGGCAACCAATTAACACAAACTAACATACAAATGTATGCATACATATATATATATATATATATGTAAACATGTTTGTGGAGAGAGAGAGAGAGGTAGAGAGAGAGAGAGAGTGTGTGTGTGTGTGCTCGCAAGAGTTTGGCTATCAAACATTATCTCGCTCTTCCGTTCTGAGCTCTCCAAGGAAATCCATCTGTGAAGCACCCCGCGAAGCCCAAACAAACCTAGACTTTCCAAAATCCCTTAACTAAGGAATATACCTTAAATCATATTAGGGATCCTACTATAATTTAAGGTCTATTCCTTAATTAAGGGATTTTGGAAGTTCTGGGAAGAGAGCCGTGACGTGAGCCCCGAGCCCATGCTGAGATGAGGATGGCATGCAGAGCGATGAGCTGGCTGAGAAGGAGCAGCATCTGAAGCACCTAAGGGTGGTTTACTTGGAGGGTCAGGGGACTTGGTAAGTTAGGTTATAAGTCTCTTAATTGGGGTTCTAAGAAACGATAGGCACAGTTACCATACTTATAATCCGGGTTACTAAGTCCCATGATCCTTTAAGTAGGGCTTAGGGTTCATTAGGGTTTCGGGTTTAGGGTGCGCCAGAGGAGAAGGTGAATTTCAAGACTTGTCTGCGTCGTCGCTTCGCATTACAGGTCTTTGGGCAGGTTGGGTCCAGGATTCGAGGGTTGAGAGTCTCTACAGTAGAAGCCAGAAAGTTGGAATATTATTATCCTAACCCCTTTAAGGTAAATTATAGGGGATCCTACCATTAATTAATCCATATTCCAACTTTCTGGAGTTCCCTTTAAAACCCGGCTCAGTCTGTGGTTTAGGAGTTTAGGATAAATGTCGGCTCAGGGCCCCGACGTCAAGTGGTCTGTTTGCTTGAAAACAAGTGCAGGGGTCTGTGGGGTACTGAGGCTCACAGAAGAAGCCTGGCTGCAGTAATGCAACCGCTGAAGACGAGGACGATGAGAATGAAGAACAATCTTATTGTGAAAGCGAAGAACACGGCTGCTACTTAACTCAAACTTCCAACACTCAGGACGTGTGAAAGGCTTTTCCGTGGAGAAGGCTGTAAACAGAAAGCACTGAGTGCACCATTGCAATTGATGTTCATTCGCTTGGGCGTTACTGTCACTAGTTGTTCGGCAAACAACTTCCAACCTGCCTCCTAGTCTTTGCCTTTTGTCGTTGAAGTTGCCAGCCTCATTGCTGGAGCTATGTCAGGGGGCTTCCGAAACTTTCCGAAACTAGGGGACCCTGATATAATGCCCTAAGCCCCTAAACAGTAGGATCCTTATTATAAGGACTATGGACCCCAAGATAAGGTACCCCTAATTTTCGGAAACTCCCATGTGCATTTGCCACGACATCTCTTACCGGGCTGTGCGCAGTCAGCATCGGCAGGCCTCTGGAAAATCCGTTTGAGCCGCACAGATTAGAAGTTCTTGTGGGGCACTGGGAATTAGCATCAGCGTAGCTATCAATCTGGCCAGCCCCTATACCCTCGGAACCCGCCTGGACCGGACACCCTAGATCCCGAATTTCCAAGTCTGTAGACAGACATTTCGAGCATCGTCAGGAGCGTTCGAAATGGGAATTGGCCGTGTTGGAACTGATATTGTTTTGCCGAGAGTATGCTAGACCGCTACATCTGTCTCTTCTCTGGCGTCTAGCAAAAATCGTTGAGGAAATGGTGGAGATATCAAGCTCTTCTGCAGGTTTTGCTTGCCCGAACCCACCAACGAAAACTCAAGACTCTATTCTGAGGGCATCTGATTTGATTGAACCCGACTGCGCGAGTCTTATGCTCTGGTGAATTACATATAATGATTCAAGGACGAAAGACTAGCGACAGCCGCATAACCTACAACTGCATCACTGCTTCCAGCAATCATCACATGATGGTGCCGCTACTCAGAAGCACAACCCGTCACTACCAAAAGCAACAGCAAGAGCAACGACATCAACACGCATGCTGCCAACAATATAGACTCTCGTGGATGCTACGAACCGCAACTATTGATGATGCTGACGACTTGAAATGCGATTGATATGACAAGTTGACCCCAAACAGAAGCATGACACCCTTAACCTTCAACAGCTGCCTTAAAACCCCAACATCTGAACGGTCACACACTACATGGAGCCAGGAACCCTAAGCTGTCTACTATTTTCTGGTGCCTATATTGGTATTATTTATTTTCCATCGCTCTATTTCTCAATGCTCCTACATTTAAACCCTCATAATACCCCTTATAGTACAAGCCCTGAGTAATGCAGCTCATAAAGAACCTTCTATACAGCTTATAGTCACCATTGCGGATCTTTACAAACAGCCCTCACCGTAGAAGCCCTGAGTGCTTCTATGCGCCATAGCCCTTATACCAATCCTTACACAAGCCTTTACAGGAACGTTTACGTTAGAAACACTGAAGAAACACTGAAACCTTCAACTCCTAAATATTAAACCCCTAAACCCTGAACTCCAAAACCCAAAAACTCCCCGTAAACTCTAAAGCCGAAGAAGGGACGCAAAGGAGGCCGTGCCTCGACTCTGAATGCGCCGGCGAGAGATCCGTGATCCTAGAGCCCACGAACACGGCGGTTTATGGCTGAGGGTTGTTTCAAGCATTTAACGGTTTTGGGATTTAGCAATGTCAAGGGCTTTATTCCCACCCCACTCATCACATTCCGCCCCTGAGCAACATCCACCCCTTCACTGCGCAAACATCTGTACAACTAGTTCTTTGAAGAACCCTCTGGCACGTGAGCACACGCACACAAGAGAGAGCGAGAGAGAGATAGATAGAGAGAGAGAGAGAGAGAGAGAGACAGAGAGAAAGAGAGAGAGAGAGAGAGAGAGAGAGAGAGAGAGAGAGAGGGAGGGAGAGAGGGAGAGAGGGAGAGAGGGGAGGGAGAGATGGGAGGGAGAGAGGGAGAGAGAGGGAGAGAGGGAGGGAGAGAGGGAGGGAGAGAGGGAGAGAGGGAGAGAGGAGGGAGAGAGGGAGAGGAGAGAGAGAGCGAGAGCGAGAGAGAGAGACAGAAAGACAGAGAGAGACGAGAGCGGAGAAGAGAATAAAACAGAAGATCAGGGAAAAGAAGACGAGATAAGATAAGACAGTATAAGGTAACATGGTATAAGGCAAGATGAAGTACAGTGAAAAGACTGTATAAGAACCCGCTGTTTAAGAACCTGAGCCCCTACCCAAGGCGGAATTTAGAATCCAAAAGGAAATTTCTGGAGGGCCCCTGGCCATGCCCTCCGCCCCGAGTCCTTTCGACGAGCTGTGGAAATTTTAGAATTGAAAACTAAATTTTCCAGACCCCCATGGCCCACTGCCCCCACAAGAAATTCAGAATCCAAAGTAAATTTCATGAGAGCCCTCGGTCAAGTTATCGGATAAGAACGTGGTTAAGAACCTGAGCCTACCCTAGCTGCTCGAACGGCAAAATCACATGTAATGGAAATTAAGAACCTTAGGGTACCCTACTCTCGCCGAACGGGGTTCTTATACAGGGTTTTCACTGTAGTACAAAGTCATGAAAAACAAGCCGGACAAGGCAAGACTAGTTCCATGAGTAGACAGAGAGGCAGGCAGGCAGGCAGACAGAAAGAAAGAGAGAGAGAGAGAGAGAGAAATGTATACATACATGCATACATACATCCATCCATACATACATACGTAGATACATACATACACATGCATACATACATACATACATACAGCATGCACTTTTATGTATGCAGATATATGTAGATCTATGGATGGATGGAGGATGGATGGATGGATGGACGGATGCATGGATGGATGCATGCATGGATGGATGGATAGATGGAATGGATGCAGGGAGGAATGCAGGAATGCAGGGAGGGAGGGAGGGAGGCTGGCTGTCTGGCTCTCTGGCTGGCAGGGTGGATGTATGCACAGATAGCCAGATCGATAGATAGCCTGATCGTCAGATGTGCAAACCGTCATATAGGCAGCTACAGAGATAGTTAGACAGAAACAAAAGAGAACGAACGAAAGAAACAACGACAGAAGCAACAAATGTTTATAGTTATTGCGAAAGATAGATAGACAACTAATTAGCTGATCCATGGATAGATAGATACATAGACAGATCAACAAAAAGAAAGATAGATGCACAGATAGACAGCTCCGTCGACCAGAAACAGCTAGCCACATGCACAATGCCTGCTTGCACGACGTGCTTCGGTTGATGATATAAACCCTGCATTGCCTTAATGACCCGAGACTATGGGAGTTCTGGTATAATTCTTATTTTGGGTAATGCGGGATTTATCTCATCAACCGTTCAATTCCCGGGTCCAGGCCTGTACTGATGGCCCCATCCTCCTCAGGTCCTCTGCATTTGTGGGTGTAGGGTTTATAGGGCTCTTAGGGCTTATTATAGGGTTTGTAGGGTCTGGGGTCATTGGGTTTAGGGTTTAGAGGGTTTAGGGTTTAGAGGGCTTAGGGCTTAGAGGGCTTAGGGTTTAGAGGGTTTAAAGGGTTTGGTCATCACTCTACTTCTGGCTTCGGAGTTTCAGTGCCCCAGGCCTCGAAGCTGACAGGACGCGCAGGGATAGGGTGTAGGAAGCAAGACTCAGATCTCTAAACCCTCAACCGACTCTATACTCTAAACCCTAAACTCTTAACCCTAAACCCTGAACCTCTATGTAAGCCCTCAAACTCTTCAAACCCTAAACCCTGAATCTCTAAACCCTAAACCCTGCGTTCTTCAGCCTTCTCGGGGCTTCTGAAGCCGGCGCCCCGAGAATCGACACTAGGTGTCGACTTCGCATCAGTCCCCAAAATATTCATAGTTAGGGCTCCAATTCAAACATTAAGACTGCTAATAAAGCAACGTAAATTAAGATTAAGGCTACCCCCAAATCGGTACCTAGGACAAGGTCCTGAACGAAATACAAGCAGTAGGGGGGTTCAGGGCTCTGGGCTTTGAAGGTTCCAGGGGTTGGGGGAGATAGGGTATGAGTGCTTTAAGTGGGGTTATGAGCAAGTAGAAGTTATAAGTATAGTTACCCCTTGTGAATCTCTAGTTATCAAGTAGGAGCTGAAGCTTAACCTTATGAGCTTCGGTGTCAAAAAACTTTGGCCCTGTAGCACCTTGTCCTGGTGTTCAGTCTCAACGTTAAGACCAAGGAGACCCCCACAACAAAAAGGGCACCACTGAAGAACCTAGGAAAGATCTAAGCTCCCTCGCAAGAAACAGACCCCTACCCGTCAAGCACTCGGGTTCTTAGGGTTCAGGATTTGGGAGTTTCCGAAAATAGGGGACCCTAATGTAGTACCCTAAATGATAGGATCCTTATTATAAGGACCCCTAAATAAGGTACCCCCAATTCTCGGAAACTCCCATTTAGGGGAAGCTAGAAGCTCAGGGCTGTGCGGGTTTGGGACCGACCTCCCAAGCATTCGAACCCGGCACGTTTCAACGAGCACCCAGGCGTTAGGGCTTAGGAGCCGGCAGGGTTCAGGGTTAAGGGTCTGAGAGAGTTCAGAGTGCAGGATGCATCAGTGGACCGTGGCTTCGGGCTAGTTTTGACAGGTCCTGCAGAAGGTATTGTTCGACTATATATATATATATAGAGAGAGAGAGAGAGAGAGAGAGAGAGAGAGCTGACATTGAACCCGGAACATTAGAGAAAGGAGCCCGATGCAGCCCTATCCGTTCTTGAATCTCCAAAGCTACCGTGTCTCCTGTAGCCGATCTGCTGGCAGCCTCTGGCGCCTGCACAACCAAAACGTGGCCAGCGAATAAACTGCTAGGGACTCCGGGAACATGGTGAAAGCGCTTGTGGCTGAAGGTTTCGGGCTTCATTGTGGGTGTGGGCTTGATGGCTTTGCGCAGATTAGAATATTGTGAAATGTAATGTATGATGCTATCTCAGTATGTATTGCAGTGTAATTTTGTATGCATACATATACATCATGATATACGTGTGTGTATGTATGTATGTATGTATGTACGTATATATATATATATATATACGTACATATTAGAGAGAGAGAGAGAGAGAGAGAGAGAGAGAGAGAGAGAGAGAGAGAGAGAGAGAGAGAGAGAGAGAGAAAAAAAAAGAGAGAGAGAGAGAGAGAGAGAGAGAGAGAGAGAGAGAGAGAGAGAGAGAGAGAAAACGAGAGAGAGAGAGAAAGAGAGAGAGAGAGAGAGTTCTGACTTCGGGGGGCGATGAGTGGCTGTAGGTAGCACCAGCGCCAAGCCTAAAGGAGGGGTGTGAGTGAGGCCCGGGCACCTTTTAGGGCTTAGGGTGTAGATGGGGTGTTGCGAGGCTTTCTGGGGTGCGGCCTGCAAGAGAATTCGAGGATCCTATGTATGAAGCCAAGGCTAGGAAACGCCTTCATGAGGATGATGCTTCTGCTAAACCCTCAACCCTGAACCCCCAAACCCGGAACCCTAATGCCTAGACCGACTAGATTACCAAACCCTGCACCCGAAAGCCTAAGCCGTCTAACACCGAAGCCCGTAGAGTCTGACTGCAGGTCTAAAGCACCACTGTGAGCTTGCGGTTCTTCAAGCAACTTTCCAGCTCTTGGCTTCATTGTCTAATCTCTCGCGGTTAAGCAAATAGCCAACTGGGATACTTTTAAAAACGCTAAGGCTTAAGGCTACAAACTCTGCACTCAACCTCACGCTCTAGACCCTTAAGCCCTCAACCCTTACCCTCATCGCTAGACTATGGTCAAGGTTGCTTTAACTCCGTGGTCGGACACCCAGAACAACTCGAAGATCCGACCATTCTACAGTCGCTATGCTAGCCCTGTGCCCGTAAAACCCTGATAAAAATAAACCCTAAGCCCCTAAATGCTAAACCCCTAAACCCTAAACCCCTCAACTCTAATAAACGTCCTAGCCGCAAACGCAAAGCCCTAGCACAAGCCAGCAACTACCGAGGTCCCTCGCAGGAACTAAACGACAAGCCCTGCAGCCCCGCAACTGTTATAGAGCCCTGATGAACCGAAACCTGCAGATCCGTCAAAGGAACCCTAAACCCTAAACCCCATACCTTCCGAAAGCCCTCAACCCTGAAGCCCTACACCCTGAACCCTGAACTTTCCGAAAGCCCTAAACCCTACAGATCCGTTCCCTTTAAAGCGCCCTTTAAGGAACCCGAAAGCCCTAAAACCACCCTAAACCCTAAACCCTAAACCCTAAAACCCTAAACCCTAAAACCCTAAACCCTAAAACCCTAAACCCTAAAACCCTAAACCCTAAAACCCTAAACCCTAAAACCCTAAACCCTAAAACCCTAAAAGCCCTGGGCTCGAGGGCCTTCCAGCGGCAGGGCTGTTCCTACCGACGCTCGAGCATGGAATCCTTCATGGAAAAGATGGCCTACTCGGCCTGTACCATACCGGAAAAGCTGGACTTCATCTGCGCCAGAGGGTGGATTGCAAGCTATGGGATCAATGAGATGCCCCGCGACCAGGAGTTCAATGTTGCAGTGCAAATTGCAAGCATGGACTCCATGCACCACGGAATGGCCAATGTGATCCACCTGAAGCTCTCCAATGTCATCGGAGATGGAGGCGAAGACCGCTTCCCAAGAGCGACCGGCGAGGTTGTCTACTTCGATGCGACGTCTTTTCGGGGACGTGTGAGACAGAATGAAGTCTATATGCTTGTTGGAGCAAAGGTGGTGAAGGATCCAAAGGGAAAGACGTGCCTACGGTTCCCGGAGATCCAGGAGCAGCGAGCTACGATACGCTTGCCGACCCAGACGGACGCCGTGGTTTCGATGATGGACTGCTTTTGTGGAGGCCTCAGCGGCTTCTCAGCTGCTGCAGCAGCCCTCCCCATGGAAGTGGCCATGAGAATTGACCATGATGGGCTGGCGATTTCCAACGTGTTGCTCAACAACCAGGATGCGACCCTCTTCTCTGGTACAGGAGATCAGGCTACCTTTGATGTTTTTTGGGGCGACCTGCTAGACCTCAGATGGCTCCAAGGGGTGCATGGAAAGAATGTGGAGGTTGTGGTGGCCTCGCCGCCGATCGACCTCTTCTTGAGTGGCAGTGAAGGACTTCGCGAAGGCAAGAAATCCATGGGATGGTGGCAACTTTTCATGGTGCTGCGATTGATTCAGAGGAGGACCTTCATTCTCCAGACACTACCCCGTGTTGCCCATCATGAAGATATGAAAACGATCATGGATGTGTTCAAGTGGTGTGGCTACAAGTGTGTTTGGAAGGGCTTCTTGGATCCAAGCCAGCACACACCTGCAGAAAGAACTCGTTATTGCATGGTGTTCTGGAATACAGCAGACCACCCCTCCAGCGGAAAGGCCTTCAAGATGATCAAGCCGGAGAGCCTGCCTCCTCTGGCCTGTTTCCCCGGCATTTGGCAGAACATGCCAGAAGACATGGAGGAGAACCTGGTGGTGAAGCACACGGACTTCACGAAGATCACGAGTCGCGAACTGCTGCCAGCTTGGCAGAAAGGACTGGTTGGCGCTCCACTGGCGCTGAGGACAGTTGACATGGCCAAGCCTCTTCCTCTTCTCCCTGTGAACTATGGTCGTGTCCTACAGCTACCCTGGATGGTCCTCAAGAAGCAGGGCCTCTACTACCCCATCCTACCGTCTGGAAGGGCGAGGGTCCGATCCATTTCGAAATGGGAAGCCTTGCGATGTTTTGGCTTCAGTGGCAAGACCATCCTCCCTGCCTTTGAGGAGGACGCCTATCTTCTTCTTGGAGCATGCCTTCTACCTGTACAAGCAATGGGAGTCCTCCTTTCAGTTCTGGGCCACCGCCAAGAGGACCCTCTGGAAGAGACTGAGATGAACAGATTCTTTCAGGAAGGCATCCACGACTTGCAGAATACATGGTTGGCCTATGACCTGCTGGAGGAGTTTGTCATCGATGGTTGGGCTATTCTCACGATGAAGAACGACCAAGCAGAGCAAGGCCCCAATGGAACCTTGCGACAGCGGCTCATTGGAAAAAAGATCCAGCTGGAGTCACTGCTTTTCCGGAGGAGTCAGGGCCAGCCAATTGCCCTCCCGGGTCGTCTACGAGGACCTCCAATCGGACCCAGAGGATGATGGACGGGAAGAGTACAGACTTTTCCAGACTACTGGAGGAAGCTCGGGCATTGCCATCGACACCAACGAGAAGACGATGACGGTTCACAAGCAGGTTGCCGAGTTCTTGGCGATCCCCCCTGAGGAGATGGCCCTGGCAAAGATCCCCTACATCAACGACAACTGGATCATTGCTGGAGAAATCCCTTCGAGATATGATGTTGCTTTGGTCTTGGTGGATGCGGCTGTTCCGGAAGCATGGTGGATGCCCTCAATATTGCATTGGGAGGCCCTACGACAGACCTACAATATGCAACACAGTGAACGACCTGACATCATCCACATCAATGGAAAGCCCATAGACACGTGGCCGGCGGTCATTGAGTCTGGGGACTACATATGGATTCGATGGGACGGTCACTCGGAGATTGAGAACAGCAAGGAGCTCGACATCTTCAAGAAGTTTGATGCCATGCCAAGCCCCCCAGATTCACAAGATGCTGGAGAAGATGCTGATGAAGGAGGAGAAAGCAGTGATGATGGGACGAGCGATGGCTCCGTTGATGGTCGAGATGATCCTCCCCCTGCGACCCCCGTGGACAACAATGTGGAGGGCCCACGGGATACAGCGATCGACCCGACACAGCCCTATGAAGTGGAAGCACCTCTACGTGGTCTCCCCTTTTCCGAAAGCTTCGCTGATGCAAGGCCACTGGACGAGACCAACAAGATGCCAGGCCTGACCTCGGAGGCTATCCCGGCAACCATCAATTATGGACCGATTCGACACCCTCCAGCAGCTGAAGCTATCTATATCGACTTCCAGGGACAGATCCTGCCCTGCTGCCGCGATGATCCCAGAACCTTGGACCAGATCACGGAAGACGAGTGGGGGATCCCTGCTGGAACACTCTTCTTTCTCCTCACTGGAAGACCCATCGGTGCAACTACCACAGCGGCCCGATTGCCCACAGGATGCAAGATCTTTGCCAGAGGTCGACAACGAGGAGGAACTGCTGGTGGTGTGGTTTCCAAGCTCAGAGGCCTCCTTAAGCAGAAGGGTGTCCCAGAGGAAGCCCTTGATGAGAGGATTGAGGAAATCCGGAGCCAAGTCGGGGAGAAGGGCATCCGCGATGCCTATGCATCCTTCGACCCGTGGTCGAAGTTGAAGTCGTCATGCAGTACCAGATTGGTTAAAGAATCTGAAAGCCGCCACAGACCCAAAGCCAAGGTGCTCCAACCAGATGACGACCCCCTCCAACATGAAGATCCATGGAGTGCAGCGATCCAGGAAAGGGCTCAGTGGAGTTTAGAGGCGAACTTCTTCCTCACCGAGTCTGGGGCCCACCCGAGTGCCTTGTCCAAGATTACACATGGTGCCACTGGAGTGGCACTGGTCACGGAACGTGAGGCAGAACTTCTTCTACAAAATCAAGAACATATGTCCTCAGAGGAGCTGGCGGCACTGGTCATCGGCAACAACATCAAGACCTCTGGAAAATTCCCGGTCAAGGAAGTGGAAATCCCCTGCCGGAATGCCGAAGACAGGAGGATCCTCATCAAGGCCCAGATGATCAATTTGGGTTGCAAGCAGATTTCCTTGGTTGGTGAAAGTACAAAGATCAAAGTGGATGAGCTGGATGGCATTATCATGGCAGCCGAGATCGTGAAGAAGGAAACTGCCCAATGGGAT